TTTTTTAGAATTGTTTGTAAATAAAATAAGATTAAACAAATCCTTAATTTTTGTTGGCAAAATATCCAATGATGAATTTCAAGAAATCTTATACTTTTTTATGCAAATTTTATTTAAAAAAAAGGTAGTTTTTTTGGAATACCTATATTAAATAATAAATAAATTTAAATTTTTCTGCTTAAAAATTAACTAAATTTAAAAGTATTAAATTAAAAGACAAATTTTAAAAACACTAACATTTTGCCGATTTTTTTTCTCATATATACATATATATATGTATATATATATATATATATTATTCTTTACAAAAATTAAATTATTTTTAAATATTTCTCAAGCAGCTCCAAAATTGTAATATATATACCCCACGATATATTCCACTTTGCCCCATAAAAGGGGCAAAGTGGAACAAAATGAAATTAAAAAAAACAATGATATTTGGAAAAACCACGATTCCAGAGTTTTCAAATTTTTGTCATTTTCATCAACATAATGACCATTTAATTAACAACACGTAAGTGCCTTATTTTCAAATTCTATGACTACTATTTAAAAAAAATCAAATATTGTTCCGCTTTGCCCCACTCTCCCCTAAATGTAGCTAACTTGAAACAGCAATAACTTTTTTATTTTTAATGCAACGCCCTGTACCTTTTCATTGATATAACCATTTCCTATACCATACCTAAAGTTAATAATAACAAAGATATTGTACAATTCCTATTATGTATTAAATATTTCAAATTTTTAAATATTACTTTTTAAATTAATAAACAATCGCTTCTGTTAAAACCGGAAGAGGAATTTTGTTTAAAATAATTTTAAAAAATTATTAATATTCTTTTAAAACCCCGGGGGTTTAAATTTTAAACCCCCTTTTTAAATTAATAAACAATCGCTTCTGTTAAAACCGGAAGAGGAATTTTGTTCAAAATAATTTAAAAAAATTATTAATATTCTTTTAAAACCCCGGGGGTTTAAATTTTAAACCCCCAAACCCCCCGTGCGCACGGGTGTGTCTATTTCAAAACTAAAACAAAATTTGGTTGCCGATTAGTATGTAGCATTTTTTTAAATTAAATCACCAAAAACAAAATATTAAGCAACACATTTGAATAGTTTGAACATTTAAATATAAATAAATAAGAAAGTTTAGCATTAAAACAATTGAAAAATATAAACATCAAAAAACATTAAGCAAATACCGTTAAGTGAACGCCTATTGCAAGATTTTTGAAAATAACAATGTCATTTTAAGATAAACAAAACAAATCAAATTATATTGTTTTTTTTGTAGTTTTATCTTTATTTTTACTTAAAAATTAATAAATATATTTTCACGCACCTGTAATGATTTATTTACATAAAGAATATAAAATTAATTGTTTAATGCGTTTAAAGAATTAATTATTAAAAAAGGCTTGTAAGAATGTCCTTCGGCAAAAAATGTTTTTCACAAATACATTTAAATTTTAGATCATTATAATCTAAATCCAATAAAAGTGGATTTCCGGAATTTTTCTTCCAAATTTCACACCGTTCGGTGTCTTTTATTGGAAATTGGAACAATACAAAGCTGGTTATGCCTTTTTTTAAAAAACATTTGTTAGGTATATAAACAAGTATTTGTAGGTAAATTATTCATTTTCGCTAACGAATTAAGTACAACAACCTACTTGAGCAATTGCTTTGTGCAAACTGAATTAAATTTAATCTAGTCGACCTTCACGATGCATTCGACCGGCGCGGCGAATTGCATAGAAAGTGGGGATGCTGATGACGACGCGTTTCTTACTGTCTCACTCTAACGGTCTCACTCTAATTTAGAATTTAAATCTCAAGATAAAATCGACGGTGGCGCCTCTAACAACTGGGATCGATTTTGGAGTTATTTTAAATACATTAGACCACGCCTCTTCCCCACTTCTTTACTCAATGATGGCACAATGACTAATGTACCATGCCCACCAACACTGACAGACAGACTGTTTCGACCTGTTGGGTCTCATCAGTGTCAGGCAGTTGGTGCCGAGAGACACGCTTCAAGCCAAGCAACCGCCCACCTATATACTAGTTGGGCGACCTGGACAGCGGCGAGATGCAGCGGCAAGGTAATATGGTGACATTTATCTTCTGTGTTCGCCGGCAGTGTTGTCAGACGTTTAAATAATTTCAGAAAGCTCATCAAAATGGCGGTTATATTATTAAATCTTTAATACTTAATTAATTAGTATACCTAGTATACCTATTTGACATAAATGTGGTGAATAATTATTTTAAATTTATTTAATTTATTTATTAAAACTTAATAAAGTACGGAAATATATTTCGTTTAGTTATTTTGCTTATAACCGACAACACTGAAGATTCTCAAATTCAGCGCGTGCGTAGTACATATATGAAATACAATAATAAACAAAAAGGACTTTTTTAAGTAATTTTTTATTGTATTGCAGACTGTCATAGTCATATTATTAACAGAAATAATATTATTAATATATAAATATTATTATCTGGGTAAAGTGAACATTTCAAAATTAAAAATTTCGTAGCTCTTGGCAAAAAATCAATTTAACGTAAAGTCGTTTTTTTTACATATGCTAGTTTAAACCATCACAAAATCCCACATGTATACATACAAGTATATATACAAGATATCCATATCAGTTATCCACCGGATATCCAGTGGATATCCAGTGGATATACATTAGATGTACAGTGGATATACTTTGGACATACATTAGTTATCCATTGGATATATATTTTGTTGAAATTGGGTTAATAACGATTTAAATCATATTTATTAATCATTACATAAATTTATCCTATAAGGGGCTATTTTAAAAAAGAAAAAAATATTTTTAATGTTTTTGTTTTTATTTGAACATCCAGTATGGATATCCATCGGATATCCAGTGGATATCCAGTGGATATACATTAGATGTACAGTGGATATACTTTGGACATACATTAGTTATCCATTGGATATATATTAGAGATACTTTGTTGAAATTGGGTTAATAACGATTTAAATCATATTTATTAATCATTACATAAATTTATCCTATAAGGGGCTATTTTAAAAAAGAAAAAAATATTTTTAATGTTTTTGTTTTTTTTTTTGAACATCCAGTATGGATATCCATTGGATATCCAGTGGATATCCCGTGGATATACATTAGATGTACAGTGGATATACTTTGGACATACATTAGTTATCCATTGGATATATATTAGAGATACTTTGTTGAAATTGGGTTAATAACGATTTAAATCATATTTATTAATCATTACATAAATTTATCCTATAAGGGGCTATTTTAAAAAAGAAAAAAATATTTTTAATGTTTTTGTTTTTTTTTGAACATCCAGTATGGATATCCATCGTATATCCAGTGGATATCCAGTGGATATACATTAGATGTACAGTGGATATACTTTGGACATACATTAGTTATCCATTGGATATATATTAGAGATACTTTGTTGAAATTGGGTTAATAACGATTTAAATCATATTTATTAATCATTACATAAATTTATCCTATAAGGGGCTATTTTAAAAAAGAAAAAAATATTTTTAATGTTTTTGTTTTTTTTTGAACATCCAGTATGGATATCCATTGGATATCCAATGGATATCGTAAAAGGCATGGATGTTATATGGACATTGGGATAGCCATTGGATATCCATTGGATAGCGTGTTCTGTGTGGGAATTTTTAAAAGTTTTAAAGAAGTTTTAATGGTCAAAATGTCAACATTCTTAAAGTTAAAATAAATATTTAATAACCTAGATTATTTGCTTATATTATGAAATAAAGTAGATATCTATAAATAAAAATACCAGTAAAATTAATTAATTTATTAAAGAATAATAATAAGTCAAAGATAATAACAATCACATATTTATCGAATTATCGACTTACATTTAAATGTAAAGTTATAAATTTTGTCTTAAAAATGTATCAATTTAAAATTGTTAAAAATAAAAGTTATTGGTATAAATTTGTAAAGAGTCATTTAAATTATAGTCGATAAATTTTTAATGCAAAAATTACCACTTTAAAATTTAAAACTAACATTTAAATGTAATGTTCAAATTTTTTTTTTTAATTTATCAACTATCATTTAAATGACTCTTTACAAATTCAAACCAATAATTTTAAAGAATAAAATATTAAAATTCCATTTTTTAAAACTTAATCTTTTACAGTTGCGTTTTATATTTAAAATATTTTTTGATTATCAATAGTTTTGAGTTTACAAAAATTTAACTTTTTAAACTATTTTGGTAGAAAATGTTTTATATGTGTTTTTATTTTAAATGGCTTGATACTATTTTTTAATACTACAAAATTTAACTTTACCAAATTAACCTCGATACTTTTATAAAATATTAAGTTAACACAATGCCACCAAAATAAATTATACTTGGAATTTTTTTTTTATTAAAAAATGATAGAAATTTTTGCAAAAATTGATAGAAAATAATATTGTTTAATACAGAAGTGAACTGTTGGTTAGTAAATTTTGTCTTTCAATACATGATGGTTGAAAATATTATAAATTTATAAATGTAAACCTAAAATTTTTAGTTAGGAAAATTTTAAACCAATAAAATTTTAAATTAAAAAATTATTTAATAAATGTTAAAACGGCGTGCCATACAAAGGACTGCCTGAGCAATTAAAATGGTAATCACTGCACTTATTATAACGTTCATCTTTCATATTTAAATACAAGTAAAGTAATAAAATGACAGAAAATTGACGTATAAGTTAAAACACAAAATATAAACAAAACAAGTGTCAACTATTTTTGTTGTCAACGCGCATGCTTACGGAATGCGGTACGGGAATTCATAAATGACAGCCGGGGGGAAGGAAGGAAGGCAATCTATAAATCTTACATTTTTCTCAATTTAAACAACCATTACTTTCGATAAAAAAACACACACACATGCAGACATTTTTTCAACGGGTTTAATTAAATTTCAAGATACTTAAAATGATATGGGAGGAGGTGGCGTCGTCCGGTTACAAAGTGACGTGGCAGGACGTGCTGGACTTTCGAAAGTCGCACCTGTGCAGTCCCGAGCAATCCATCAAGACGCTAAAGTACCGGCAGCAGCAGAAGCACTACCAAACGCAGGAGCACTCGCGCAGCTACTCGCAAGGCTCCGACATGCTCAAACAGACCCCCGCGCACGTCTTAAACCACTCGTTTCCGCCTTTAACTGCTGCGCACCACCACCTACCGATAGGCGCGCCTCCTTACGGCTACGCCGGCAACTGCTGCGCCGCCTACGCGCCGCACTACGCGCACACCAACGGCTACGGCGCCTACAGCTCCAACGGGTACATTGCGCACCAAGCGCCTGCCTATTACTACCCCGTGCCCACTGCGCAGCTAATAGAAGTGGAGAATGGTGGTGGTGGTTCTTACGACGCCGTGGACGGCCGACAGCGGTACCACCGGGTGCAGGTAGGGATGCGACAGTTGAAATTTTCAAATGAAAATTTCAACTTTGAAAGTTTCAAACTGGCAATACACGGTGCTGTTCTGAGAGGTGATTTTTGGACTTTCTGTGAAACCTAATTTTTTTATATTCTTGTTAATTAGGTCATAACTAAAATTTTAAGAGCAAAATAAAAAAATTTGACGGTTAATTTTGTATTAATTGGCTGTTTATTAAAAATATTATGCACTCTTTCAATTATCCAATTGAAACTAGCGATTTAATTTAAATATTTAATATTTGCATAACTAAAAAAAAGGTTTTTACAATTTTTTTTATATATTTTACTGTTTTGTTGCAATAAACGTTCAAACTTTTAATCTAACTTTTGACGTATACATTTATGTTCCCTTAATTAATATATCCTTAAAGGTTGCCATGGAACTTAGATCTATTAAAAATTTATTTGACGTTTGTATTGTCATTTTCAGTATACGTATTCTATAATTTTTGTTTAGTTTTTTAAAGTGTTTTTTATAAACAAAAATGAAAAATTGTAGTAAAAGTTCCGAAGAAATTCATGAAATTTAACTAGGGACTGGTTTATTCATCTTTAGTAAAGTTTATCGGGCCGATAACTTTCATGTCTTGGCAATATCTAGTATCCAAAGAAATTATTCGTCAAATAAATCAAAAATGAATAAATCGGCCCTAAATAAAATGTGGCACCCTTAGAATTATTGTTTAATAAATGTATACTATACATTTAACCTTAAATTAAAACTTTAACGTGTATTACAACAAAACAGTAAAAGATATAAAAAATGTATAGACCTTTTTTTAGGAAATTAACCAATCTTTAATCTGATTTAAAAAGTGATGATAATATGATAATATTTAAATAAAATCGCAAGTTTTAATTGGAGAATTGAAAGTGTGCATACATATTTTTAATAAACATCCAATTAAAACAAAATTAACCGTCAAATTTTTTTTATTTTGCTCTTAAAATTTTAGTTATGACCTAATTAACAAGAATATAAAAAAAAATTAGTTTTCACAGAAAGTCCAAAAATCACCTCTCAGAACAGCACCGTGAATATTTCATTTAGTTGGAAAAGTGAAATTTTTGAAAATTTCAAATGAAATTTTCAATTCGAAAATTTCAACATTGCCTGTGAAAGTTTCAGAAATTTCATTGAAAGTTTCGCAATTTACTGAAAATTTCGCATAAATTTCACTTGCGGCCTCCCCTGGGACCTTTAATAATAATTTACAACAGATTCCGAATCGACCAATAAGAACGAGTTATCAAGCGTCTGGGCGTTTTTGTAATTATTGTTACTTATATGCATAAATTAATTTAAATAATTTAATTCAGTTGCCAATTTAATTTGTAAATTAAATCAGACTTTAAAATTTTTTTCAAAGTCATGATTAATTTAAACTTTTACTTTTGCTATAATTGCATCGGAAAACGGATAAAAAATGCCTTTGGCTCATAAAATTTTGATGAAGTTTCTTCAATTTTCGTAAAATTTCAGTAAAATATTTAAAAATAATAAATATAAAACAATGAAAGTGGCACAATCTCATTAGCTTACCAAAAAGTTCTATATCTCTTTTAGTTTAAGTAATTTTAAAAATATTTTAAAAGGAAATCTCAAGAAATTTGTGGTAAACATAGGTATTTACTATTTATATTATTGGTGCAGGGGCCCACAGAGGGGTAGCGTGTAAGAGAGGCAATTTGCCATGGTCCCCAAGTGGGCTTATTTCAATATTAATATATGGGCGAATTTTCGTTAAATGTACATTTTGTATATATATTTTGTCCAGGCAGGTCAATTTGATCGATTTTTTTTCCTTTGTGATAGAACAGTGTAATATACTGCAAAGAAATTCTATAAGTTTATAAATAAAAAAAATAAACTTTAAGGAAATAAAACTTATAAGGTTAATCTGAAATAGGGAAGGAACACAAGGAAGAAATTAAACATTGTCCTCCTCTTAACGCATCTTCCTGAACGTTTTATGACACATTGCTTTTGACTTTTTCAAACGTTATTTTTCAGAAATACTGTTAAATGTAAATATCTTTTGGCATTTGTTTGGCATTTCTACTATGCTATAATACAAAATGAAAATAAAAAAGTTAACTTCTAAAACAAGAGTTTTATGTAGCGTTTTGTAAAAGACACCAAAAGTGTACGCAAAAAAATCTTACCTTTAAAATATTTATAAAAAAATTCACACACTTTACACGTGCTCACTTGTTGTTGCCAAACTATCAAACATGTATGCCTTCTAGAAATAACACGATAGTATCTCTATCTCGTGTCTCTATTTCGAAGCAGTCGGCATAGAAGACGACGTTAGGAAAAAGACAAGATTTTTGAATGTCAACTTTAAAATTTTTTTCTGTTTAAACTACTTTGTAGAAAACTATTTTATTTTTATATACGAATAAAAGAACTTTCCATTGTTCAAAAATAATTTATTTTTTCAGAAGAAACCTGCAAAGAAGAAGAATATAATAATTTAAATTAAAAAATCGCCTCTGGGGACAGTTAGGTTACAGGACATTTCACCTAGTTTTTCTGCCATATATAAAAACATAAAGTAATTACAAAAAAAATACGATGGGTCGTAACAGGAAGGGGGTATTTAAATATAATAAATACAAAACTTATCAACAAAGGTCAAAAATAAAAATAAAATTAGCTGGGGACAGCAAATGTACATTTAACGAAAATTTAACAAAAATACATTACACTTAAAGTGATTGAAATTTATTGAAAGTTTCAATAAATTTCATAAAATTTCAGAAATTTAGTCAATTTGAATAAATTTCATAAATGTCATGAAAATTTCAAGTGAAATTTCAAGTACAAACAAAAAATGAAATTTGCAGGACGCTCTCCCGCCCATACAACACCCCCCCACGAAAAACAAACCTCCCTCTTCTACAGACAAAGAGGACTCGTCTCAGTTTGAGGACTGGGACTACGTTTACCGCAACCTGGAGAGCCAGGGGTACTCGAAGGACTTGGGGGAGAGGGGGGACCTGCTCAGTCCCAGCGGGAGGCGCCGTTTCAGCGGGGCGTTGCACAAAAAGGTGAAGACTTCCGATCTGGACGAGCTGATGCAAAATTTCGCGATCAGGGAGGATAAATTCGAGCAGGAGAGGAAGCCGCAACAAGACAGGCACAGTTCGCAGGGTAGCTCCTACGAAAACATGCCCAATCCCACTGCGCACCACACGGTAAGGTTTTCGCTTAAATGTTTTGTTAAAATAATAAAAGTAACTTTGAAATTATGGTCATTTTAAAAGTGTAACAGAGATACTATGCTCCACACCTCAAAGTCCCACCACGTGAACACGTACGGAACGCAGTCTTTTGAAAATTTGGCATTTAAGGCTTTTCAGGTTATGTATCTGTCAAAGTATAGTCAACGAAAGAAATAATATTATTCAAGCGTTAAAAGTTAATAAATCTTTATAGTATCTCAATAACAATGGTTGGTTTCTAATTCATTTATTAAAAAAAATCTCTATTATGAAATAAGAATATCTGTATCAAAGGTAGGTTAATGTATAAGAAGAAAAAATATCATCTAATTTTGTATTTTAAGGTTAAAAAAATCTATTTTGACCAAAATAAATAAGTGGATTATTTGAAAGAGTGTGTTAATATAATATTAATTAAAGTAATTGTTGAATATAGTTCAAATTAAATTGAAGCATTTATACTTCTAACGACAAAACTTTTGCATACCTCTCGGCATACTTACTTTAAGTTAGATTAGAAGAAAACAAACAATTTTTAGAGAAACTTGCAATGTGAAAATATTTAATACTCCCATGACATGTGATTTATTAAAATTTTTAAAGTTATAATGATTTTTCGATGTAGATCAAGTTCAGTCAAAGCTTTTTAACTATTTGTATTGCCAAAACTTTATGTAGGTACACTTTAAGCTGGATAAGAAAAACTACCACATTTTTAAATACCATATTATACAGTCTTTTAAATAATCCAAAATACTTATTTATTTTGGTCAAAATAAATTTTTATAACCTTAAAATTACAAAATTAGATGATATTTTTGTTATAATATATTAACCTACCTTTAATACAGATATTCTTATTCCATAATAGAGAAGCTAGATTTTTTTAATAAATGCTGTTTAGTTAAAATTATTTAATGGAGAAAACCAGATATTTGGACCAAATTCACAAAAATATTAAGTACTTATTTGGTACCATACACTTTAGAATTTCATTAAATGCAGTATTTATATTCTTAAATTCTTAAACCATCCATTGTTATTGTAATTACAATTAATGTTATAAAGATTTATACATTTTTAACGCCTAAACATAATATTATTTCTTTCGTTGACTATATTTTGACAGATACATAACCTAAAAAGCCTTAAATTCCAAATTTTCAAAAGACTGCGTTCCGTACGTGGTCACCTGGTGGGACTTTGAGGTGTGGAGCATAGTACATAAACGGTCATATAACTAAACCATAGATTTTTTTCTAAAACACCTTGTTTTCTTTGTTAAAGTGCTGACTATGATTTATGATTTATATTTATTCTTGCATTCTTATTTTTGTTCAAAAAACTCTTTTCCATATTTGATCCCATTGCAATTAAACGTATCAACTGATTGGGCTTTAAAAGTATACCCAAAATCGAAAAATTCATATCTCGAAATCCCCTTCATAAATAATATTACGATTTTTAAGTTTGGCATTTCAAAATACATAGGTACATTAGAAAAATAATGTATTTCGCCTCTAATTTACACATTAATTTAATGAATACAGCATCTAAATATTATTAGTGCATAAAATCTACAGAACAGGAGGAAATTTTTGAGTTTTTTGAAAAAAAAATTGGATTTCATTTACAGGATGTTTAAAATTAGGAAAACATTAAATCGAATAAAATTTTTTTGAAAAGTTGTATAAATTTCGCGTACCTAGTAAAATTTTTGGGTTTTTAAAAGTTACAAAAATATAAAATTCAAGATTTCAAAGTTTAAACACACTGCAGTTAAAATCCCAAATTTGATTTAAAATCAAATCAAAATAAATAAACTTGATCCTATAAAAACAGAAAAATCAACGTTTTCTAATATTTGTACACCCTGTAGATAAAATACCGCATTTTTTATGTCAATGTTATATCACATTACTAAACCCCCCAGCAGGGTTATAGTTTACAATTTTTACTTGAAATACAGAAAAATCCATATTTTTATGAAATCAATTGAAATATAACCTAAACATACAGCTTGTTCAGACTAAAACCGAATATATCTATATATATATATATATATATGGGGCGTGGCCCCGAAAGGTCGAGCAGGTAACGACTTAAAAAATTAAATGATAATAATGTAAAAAATCTCATTAGCGATGCAGTCTATTTGCTTAGCTACTGTGTCGCGCGTTGGAGGGAGGCGAGGCCACGCCCCATATATATATATATATAGATATATTCGGTTTTAGTCTGAACAAGCTGTGTATTTTTTGTATGAAATTTATAATAAAGCGCAGGAGCAAATCCTGCGCACAACCCTGAAACTTTCATATACAGTATGTCCACGGATGATGGGGTTACAAAGAAGAAAAAACTTATTTTTACATTTTTCAGGAAATTTCATTCTTGATAAGAGTTTTTGCTTGACTTAAAAGCCCTAGTATATGCGACACATCCTTTTTATTGTCCATGGTTAATTTGCAATTTTGATTTTTTTAATAAAAATCATTTTCGTTTCTATTGACAAGTTCAAAGCTTCTACTTTCAATTTACCGCCATAAATAAATTTCTCATAGCTGTTTCATACATTTTTCATAAGTAAAAATTGTGGATAAATCAGGAATGAAATTTTCTGGGAAATGTAAAATACATTTTTTCTTCTCTGTAACTCCATACGTGCACAAGTTGTGTATACATATTTTCAAATGTGCAGGAGATAAAAAAGAATAGCAACACCTACGCCAAACCGTTGACGAAAAGTCTAGCGAAAGAGAAAATCCCGCCGATCAAGGAAGCGACTCTGATTGGCAGTAAAACGAGCGAAGCGAGAGGGGGCGCGGGAGGGGGGAGGGCGAAGGAGGAGAAGAAGGTGCAGGCCCAGCCTCAGGCGAACTCGATCGAGGGGAAGGAGAGCAGCTGGCAATGCCGGGCGTGTACGTACCTTAACGAGCGCCAGCGCGACATATGCGAGATGTGCAGCAAGACGCGCAAGGCTTGTGGGGGCGGTAACGCGGGCGGCGGCGCCGACGAAGACATGAAGATGGAGATCGGCGGGGCGGAGTGCAAAAAGTGCACGCTGGTGAATCCCAAGGATTCGCGCGCTTGCCAGGCCTGCGGGGCCAGCCTGAAAAATTCCGCCACGTACATTTGAATTCGGCGGTACTTGCAGCACTTTCCTTTTCCGAACGACAAGCTGGATTAACCGTTGGGACTTGTTAATGCAGACAGAGAGTGGGGGGTGATTTAAGCAGAGTGATATGTAGAAAAAACTGTCTACTACCTATGTTAATAAATTTGCTCTTGTACATATTAACTATACACACCAAATTTATTATTTCTTCCTAAGAGGAACTTTAAACACATCATAACATTATTTTTAATAGCTTATTTAAACTGTACATACTCTCTATATCCCAATAAAATTGTTATGTACTTATTTTTAATTTAATAGGCATTTTTTTAGTCTTCCAGTAACTTTTTTTTATTATTTTTACTGTAAATGTTGACGCTTATATTTTATAAATTTCGCAGTCATAAATTTAAAAGTTTTAATTGTTATCAGGGTATTTTTTCGTAATTACTCAACGTGATTAGATTTAAGCACAAAATATTGAATTATTTGTTATTTAATCAGAATGTTATTAAAAATGTTAATTAAGTATTATTAATTATAATTAAACGAATTTACTTTTACCTTTGTCTTATTTTGTTTGGATTCCTTAGGTACCAAGAAACATTTGTACAATGTTTTAAGTCTAAAACCCATCCTCCGTGACTGTTACTCTTTCTAGGTTAACCTACTATATGTTTTCAAATATCTGAGGTAGTAAAAATATCAGTTCACTAAGTAAATTAAACACATCAAAGCAATCGAATCAAATGGAAAATATTATTAAAAACTAAAAGAAATAATTTTTATAACCATTTATGTAGGTGTTACAAAAATTGATTCTATCCTCCGTGAATCTGTTTTTGCTTTAAATTTTGTGTAACGGATGGCGCTTTAATCATTTTAAATAAGCAAGATGCTATTTAAAAACCTATCCACCGTGAAGTGCAATATCTCAGTAAGTAGATTTTTTTATAAATATTTTATGTACCTATTTGTTTTTTGCGATTTTTCAGGACGGGAAAATTAAATTTATTTAGGGAATGGGGTTACAGTTAAATGAAACAAAAATGGAAATTTTGTTGTTTTATTAATATATAAACAGTTACACATTTAAGGGTATGTACAAGCAGCAGTCTTTAAGAGATAAACAATAAATAAAAATGATTTTTTAATCAAATCCACCTAAACCTAGATAAGTGCATTTTGTATTGCACTTAAAACCTGAAATTTAAGACAAGAAAAGAATTGATGACTCAACAGATAAACCTAAATTTATTTTAAAAAAGGCAAAGTAATTGTTATTTATTATGTCAGATTGACTAGAAATTATTATTATTATCAAATTAAAGTAATTTTAATGTAACAAACTTTTTTTTTATCTAATTGAGGGGCTTGGAAGTAAAACGATTCAAGTGCACTTTTTTAAATAAATGGTCTAAGTGCAGAATTCTGCACTAACTTAGTGGTAAAATTATATAAGTACATTTTACATTTCTTATCGTCTTTAAAAACCTTTAAATCATTTTACCACTAAATTTTGTCCAACAAAAAAGCGAAATTAAAAAATTCCTTTTTCTTTATAATCCTTTTTTGTCTTTAAACAAAACCAAAATATTCACACAGTTATATAAACTCTTTTCTAGAATTTTAAAATTCAAGTTAACTTTAAAGCCATTTATCTCAGAACTAACGAAAATGCACTTAAACCCTTTTACTTCTAGTAGACCAGGGTCGATAATTTTTGAAACCAAAAAAAATAACAGTAGGATGAAATCCATTGAAAAAGGAGAAGAATATAATAAAAATGAAAGGAAAAATAAATTACGGGCGATCTGACTTCGGGAAGTGGGAGGGGGGGGGGTTTTAAGGGTAAAAATGGTTTATCTCGATTTCCGGCAAAACTACGTCCTATGGAAAAAAGTTAAATGGCAAAGTTGTAGGTAATAAAAGGATCTACAACTTTTATAATTACAATTTTTTTACATAACCTCAAAATTTATGTGAAAAATTCAAAAAACCAAGTTTTTGATTTTTGATTTTTATCTTTTTCAAAAAAAAAATTTTTTCCACGAAATTTGGTGAAAACTTACCTTTTTATGTCCCAAATACACTGTAATTTATTTGATTTGAAATATTTAATATTTCGCCTTATTTTGACTTAATATCAAAAAAGCTCCCTAATTTTCAATCGAAAATTCTCGCGTCAAAATATCAGCTTTATTCAAAAAGTCGGTGTGCTTTTTGTTCGATGAACTCTCTACTTTCTGATGGTGTAAAAAAATATACATTACTATGGTAAATGTTCTCAGAAAATGCAAAAAATATTATAATGAATAACGAAAAAAACTCATTTAATCATTATGTACAATTTCATCAAAAAAATGTGATTGTTGCAATTTTTTTTAGTTAAAAAGTTTATTTATTAAATTCTAATAACATTTATGTCAGAAAATCTCATAAAATATAAAAATACATGTAAATCATTTAGCATAGTAATGTATATTTTTTTTTACACCATCAGAAAGTAGACAGTTCATCGAACAAAAAGCACACCGACTTTTTAAAAAAAGCTGATATTTTGACGCGAGAATTTTCGATTGAAAATTAGGGTGCTTTTTTGATATTAAGTCAAAATAAGGCGAAATATTAAATATTTCAAATCAAATAAATTACAGTGTATTTGGGACATAAAAAGGTAAGTTTTCACCAAATTTCGTGGAAAAAAATTTTTCTTTGAAAAAGATAAAAATAAAAAACCAAAAACTTGGTTTTTTGAATTTTTCACATAAATTTTGAGGTATGTGAAAAAATTGTAAATACAAAAGTTGTAGATCTTTTTATTACCTACAACTTTGACATTTAACTTTTTTCCATAGGACTTGTAGTTTTGCCGGAAATCGAGATAAACCATTTTTTACCCTTAAACCCCCCCCTCCCACTTCCCGAACTCAGATCGCCCGTAATTTATTTTTCCTTTAATTTTTATTATATTCCCCTCCTTTTCCAATGGATTTAATCCTACTGTTATTTTTTTTCCCTTTTTACCATAGGCCCCTCGATTGTAATCAATTGTCGAAAAGTCTTGAGCAACGGCAAAATTTGAATCCATTTGAGTCCATTTTTACAGGAAATATACAGGGTTATAAATAGGGCGGTCGCCAATTAAAAATTGATCGCCTTTCGGATGCGCTCGACCTTTTGATCGTTGGCGTTGTTGCTGACGGGTTGCAGCTGCAGCTGATCAAAGTGATCTGGGGCCACGTAGCCCTGTACCTTCTGGGTCTTAGCCCGCGCCCTGAGATGCTCGTGGACGATTTCTTCGACGGATTTCCCGCGAATTACCGCGAAGACGTGGTGGCGCGCTATGCGCAGCATGCGGTCGCTGGTGCTGCCCCCGCCTTCGGCGCGCGACGCGCAGAAGAAGCGGCGCGTGGCGCGCGCCAGGATCGACGCGAACACTTTGAACTGCGCGTGCGCCGGCGTCACGCCGTGATGGCGCAGTGCCTCGTATACGGCCCACTGCAGTTTCTAGAATGGGAAAAAGAAGGCTACAAAACGAATTCCCATCAGTGTTGCCACCCCTATTACTTTAGTAATAGATCTGTTACTTTTAGAGAATAGTACATTCTGTAACAAGTTTGGAATACAGCATATTCCGCTCGAGGAAAAATTTGACACACGAGCCGAAGGCGAGTGTGACGGTTTTACGAGAGTGGAATATGCTATTCCAAACGTGTTTCAGACATTATTTTCTCTACGACTACGTAAGAATAGTAACGCTTATATAATTTTAAACAGAGAAAAGAAACCAAGCAGTTTTTGACATTCAAGTTTTTTGTATTGTCAAACCATTTTGTGCCGTCACAATTTTATAATGTAAATTATAATAAATTTAAACAAATGGTATGCCTAAATCTTTATTATAATTAAAAATAGTTATTTACACTAACTAATAAAAAAAAATAACATTGTAACAAATACAAAACTAATTTTACAAGTAATCTATGTCAACATCTATTCTTTTTCTACATTTTAATAGTACATTCTGTAACAAGTTTGGAATACAGCATATTCCGCTCGAGGAAAAATTTGACACACGAGCCGAAGGCGAGTGTGACGGTTTTACGAGAGTGGAATATGCTATTCCAAACGTGTTTCAGACATTATTTTCTCTACGACTACGTAAGAATAGTAACGTTTATATAATTTTAAACAGAGAAAAGAAACCAAGCAGTTTTTGACATTTAAGTTTTTTGTATTGTCAAACCATTTTGTGCCGTCACAATTTTATAATGTAAATTATAATAAATTTAAACAAATGGTATGCCTAAATCTTTATTATAATTAAAAATAGTTATTTACACTAACTAATAAAAAAAAATAACATTGTAACAAATACAAAACTAATTTTACAAGTAATCTATGTCAACATCTATTCTTTTTCTACATTTTAATAGTACATTCTGTAACAAGTTTGGAATACAGCATATTCCGCTCGAGGAAAAATTTGACACACGAGCCGAAGGCGAGTGTGACGGTTTTACGAGAGTGGAATATGCTATTCCAAACGTGTTTCAGACATTATTTTCTCTACGACTACGTAAGAATAGTAACGTTTATATAATTTTAAACAGAGAAAAGAAACCAAGCAGTTTTTGACATTTAAGTTTTTTGTATTGTCAAACCATTTTGTGCCGTCACAATTTTATAATGTAAATTATATTAAATTTAAACAAATGGTATGCCTAAATCTTTATTATAATTAAAAATAGTTATTTACACTTACTAATAAAAAAATAACATTCTTTTTCTACATTTTAAAGGTCTTTTTTTAAACTTTTTGAATCTGTCAAAACTTCAAAGCCGGTATAGTAGGTAACTGATTTATCATTTTAATATCAAACCACAGAATAAAGAATTCTGTGATCAAACTTCAAAGCCGGTATAGTAGGTAACTGATTTATCATTTAAATATCAAATTTATTATAATTTTGATTTGATTATTTGAAAAACAATAAATGTAACTAATTTTTTGTGCCTAAACCTTAATTATATAACTGCTATTATTTTTAAATAATAAATAATACAGTAATATTTAAATATTTTTAAATTTTTTACGTTTAGTAAACAGCCAGGAGATGTCGTTACTTGTGACCATTCTTATACAAGAGTAGGAATATTCTCGCACAGTATTGCAGAAAAACATCCTTTCTATGATCAAAAATTACACTAGAATGTTACTATTCTTAAGTAGTCGTAGAGAAAGGTCTTTTTAAACTTTTTGAATCTGTCAAAACTTCAAAGCCGGTATAGTAGGTAACTGGTTTATCATTTTAATATCAAATTTATTATAATTTTGATTTGTATATTTGAAAAACAATAAATATAACTAATTTTTTGTGCCTTAACCTTAATTATACAACTGCTATTATTTTTTAATTAATAAATAATACAGTAATATTTAAATATTTTTAATTTTTTTACGTTTAGTAAACAGCCAGGAGATGTCGTTACTTGTGACCATTCTTAAACAAGAGTGGGAATATTCTCGCACAGTATTGCAGAAAAACATCCTTTCTATGATCAAAAATTACACTAGAATGTTACTATTCTTAAGTAGTCGTAGAGAAAATATATTACCCTATTAGTAGGAATTTATTTTTTAATATTCTATTGTGGTCTTATTGTTGCCACTGGCAACTTGTCAGACAGACCACAAAAGATTATTGTCGCAGCGCATCAAAACTTTTGTAGAATTAAATTTTTCTTGGTTTTTCTAATATAAGTGTTTTAAATCTTGTTAATTAAAAAAAACTTTAAGATTTTGTTAATATTGGGTAGTTTTATTCCCTTGTGCAATTTGATTAACATGAAATTATTGTTTTATTTTACATGTAATTTCGTACATTGTACGTACGTATAATTATTATCGTACAACACTGCTTGAGTGTTTGACGTTTGTTGTGTGCTTAAATTTGTGTTTATAAAGTTTTTATTTAATTAAACTAGCATAAGCATCATGCACAGATTATAAAGCATCGTGTGAAAATTCAATTTTATTCTAATGACAACGGTAAAACGTCAAAGAATCAAAAAAATTTGCTTCAAAATAGTCTATTACCTTAAATCCCAAATCTATTACATTTTGACGCATGCGTCTATTACGAAAAAAAGTTATAGGTGGCAACACTGCTTCCCATCGTTTAAGACAACAGATCGTCTTTTGCCAGTGTGTCCAGATTATACACGACGAGTTTACTCACTCCACTTTCGTGACGTAAAGATGTAAAGAAACACAGACGCGATTCTCGTTACGTCAACAGCTGTGTTTAGTTAATTTCCGATTTTTTTAAATTATTGTTTTTGTCGAAATGTTAAAAAAACTGTTTTATTTAACCATAAAAATTAATTATATACGAGAACTATGAATTTAATCGGTTAAACTAGGCTCGGTAGTTTTTTGTTTAGTTTTTCTTGGAAAATGTTGAATGCAAAATAATTTATTAAAATCACGAGACCGCGTAGCGGTCGAGGGGTTTTACTTTTAATTATTTTGCATGAAACTATTTTCCAAAAACAAAAATCAAATAAAAAACTTACTGAGTATAGTTTGACAGATTAAATTTATAGGTCGAGTGATATACGTCTAGATTATTTCTCGAATTAAAGGAAACTATTTGACAATTCATAAAATCTGACGTATGTGTCAAAATTTATAAATATTTTTTTAAAGAAAATTCCATTAATTTAAGGTATGTAATAAGTAATAATTGATATTTCGTAAACTAGATAACTTATTTTTTATTGTTTTTTAAAAAATGTTTGTTAAAACTTGTAAATAACACCATAAAATCGTAAACAAAAATCCAATATGGAGGCTAAAATTTAAACGCTGTTAAATAGTTCTAGTGATTTAATCGCTTATTTAAACGAAATTTATTCGAAAATTCAAGGCTTTTGATTGGTTCATATTATAATGAGGTAAATAATCGATCAAAAACAATTTGTCTTATTTTATTTTTTAGCAAAGTCAAATAAAATTTTTGCTAACTTTTCAAACAAAATCTAGTTATTCTTGAACAGATAAATCGTGTGTTTGTCATACCAGTGTTAAAATAAAGTGCCTTTTTTTAAATAATTAGTGATGTAAAAAATCGATTTTTTTCAAATTTGAAAAAAAAAACAAAACATTGTTTTTTTTTAAATTATTAAAAAAACTTTCTCAATAATTAAAAAAGCGTTTTTTTTGTTTTTTCAAATTTAAAAAAAAAACAAAGCAGCCAAAATAGTTTATATTGCCCATAACCTGAAACTGAAATCCGAAAAACTATTTTACTTGTGTTCATGTTTTATTTTTCATAGACACTCATGTATGTTTATTTTAGAAGCAAGTTTTTTATTTGGTGTTTTTATTTAAAATTATTAAAATTTATTTATTATAAATAACGACTATTTTAGAAAGTTTCAAAATTTTTGAAAAAAAAACAAACCCTTGTTTTTTTTTCTGTTTACATCACTAAAAATAATACTAAATGTGAAAATTATTTTATTATCTGCTGTAGTAGTGCAATTAACTAGATTTAACTGATACAGCTCTTAAATTTTTACGTACAGTGCCCATAAAACATTCTCTTCTCTTTTACTATGAAAAACTGCTTTTATATCGATTGTTAGTCTATTTTCAAGGTATAAATTTTGATTTACACAGAACACGCCACAACTGCCACTTTTTCTACCTTTAACATTTCCCGTGTAAGAAATTTTAATACTTTGTGATAATATTTTGTAGAGATGGGAATCGGAAAGTTTCCATTTTAAGGAAACTTTCCGTTTTGGAAAGTTTCCAATTGGGAATTTATTTTCATTTTGAAAGTTTCTTTTAAGCTACCGGAAACATTCCTTGGAAACATTCCTTGGAAACTTTCCTTGTTTTTTTCATTTAAATGTCAATTGTTTAACCGCTGATTTTCGTTAAGGCCATGATACAAGGCCAAGAAACTTTGAATAAGAATTTAATTTGTGTTAATTTAAAGCAGAAGAAGAAGTATAAATAATGTAAGTTATGTTACATAACCTCAATGAAGCCGGATTATTCAGCATCAACACAAAAAACTTTTTTAAAAAAATAAACAAATTTAAAATCATTCTTTCATTTTTGTTGTTTATTTATAGGCATAGCACAATGCCAAGAGAAAAATCTAGTGATTGGAATTATTACAAAATAGTGCAAAAAAACAAAAAAGACCATGCTCTCAAGCAAGTTTTGTAAGAAAATCTATGTCGTTAATGCAACCAAAAATTTGACAAAAAGTTAATGTGTTATATATTTTTGCAAATCCCTGGCATAAAACAAAAATATTTTCGCAATAAAAAATTTTTTTTTGAAACTTTCGGAAAATTTCGGGAATTTTCGATGGAAAGTTTCCGGGAATTTTCGTCAAATGGGAATTTTCCCATCTCTAATATTTTGCAATTATAGTAATTAAAAAAAAAACAAGGAATAAAATATTTTTTTGACATAATCATATTTTGAAGTTATTTTAATATTTTTAAGTATCAATAATTGTTGAATTTAATTCAAATAATAACGGGTTAATAGTGAAAATTACGTAAAAAAAATTTGATGGGTTATTAAGTTTCATTGAAATTGATTGATAGGTTGAAGAATAACTAGGTTTTGTTTAAAAAGTTAACAAAAAATTGCTGAAAAATAAAATATTAATTTTTTTTTGAGTACTTTTAATGTCAAATGGAACAATTTTATCAACATTTTGATAAAGTTTTGCTCATGCTAATTTCACAAATTCTGACCCTAATTTAATAATTATTGTAGTGCAAGTGGATTCGCGCGTTTTTAAAATCAGGAAACCAAACTATTAATAATGGTTCAAAAAAATAAATGGTAGTTTTGTAGTACTTTTCATTCCGTACAAAATTGTTTTAAACAAATTTATTACATCATTATTAATTAAAAAAATATAAACTCATGATTTTTTTTTTATGATTTTTTTTGTAAATTTTCGCGTTATTTGTGATTAAAACATTACTATTTTTTTTGTTATTTAATGTTACATATTTTGTCATGCATATTTCAAGATTTTTAGGTTGCATTTAAAATATCATAATGATCACCTGGTAGCGTATTTACTAAATTTAGATATGAATTTTAAATTATAACTTATGAATAATTCCGGTTAAACATCGGAAACTAATTTCAATGCAAACGCAACGTCACGAAAGTGGAGGGGGTAAACTCGTCGTGTACAATCTGGACAACCAAACACAAAAAATATCTAAAATATAATTTTAGATATTATTGTGTTTTGATGATGTAAAAACAATTTTAAAAAAAATAGACTTACTTTTTTGTGCATGTCGCTCAAGTCTGCCATCTGATTCCTCACGTTGAGTTCGCTCCTAGACCTGATTAGAGTCGAGCAAATTTCCGATTCAGACGGTTTTATGTCCATGGAAAAGCTGCGCGCCATTTTGCACGGGTTTTCCTCGCCAACATCAATTCTCTTGCGCTTCTTGCAGGGGGATGATTTGAAGGGGGAGTTCCTCATCTTCTTCGGGGAATTTTTGAGGGGGGACGCGAACAGCGCCCTCTTGGCGGGGCCCCTTTTAGTTGCCATTCCTGACGTGCTGGGCTGGAACATGCTCTTCGCGGTCTTGGAGGGGCTCTGGAAAAGAGCCCTTTTCGAGGACAAAGACAGATTTTCAGAGGAAGTGCTCGGGACTGTTCTGTTCTCGAACTCGCCGCTCAAGATGCGGAAGCGCATGGCGAGCTTCTTCTTCGCCGAGCTGGATGGCGTTCGGGTTTTTATTTTGGGGCTCTTGCTGGGCGTTTTCTTCGGAGTCTTCCGCGGACTTTTCATGGGGCTCTTTCTTCTGCTGGTCAAGTCCAATCTCCTGGAATGGACGGTATAAACAATATGTTCTACAGCGGCAACTTGAAAGTAATTGAAGTTATTTATTTTTAATTCGATTGCCCAATAATTTCGCTAGTCCAAAACAATGTTGTAATAATATAAGGAAAAAACGTTGAAATGAATAGTTCTTGGAAGTTCTAGAGTTTAAAAGTGTATTTTTCAAAATAAAAAGTTAAGACAATTTCCGGAGAAACCGGAAGTGACCAAAATATATTAATATGTCAAAAAATTATAAATTACACTTTATAAAAGTAAAAATAAAAAGTTAAGACCATTTCCGGTGAAACCGGAAGTGACCAAAATATATTAAATATGTCAAAAAGTTCTAAATTATACTTTATAAAAGTAAAAAGTTAAGACCATAAAAATAAAAAGTTACGACCATTTCCGGTGAAACCGGAAATGACTACAATATATTAAATATTTCAAAAAGTTCTAAATTACACTTAATAAAAGTAAAAATAAAAAGTTAAGACCATTTCCGGTGAAATCGGAAGTGACCAAAATATGTTAAATATGTCAAAAAGTTATAAATTACACTTTATAAAAGGAAAAATAAAAAGTTAAAACCATTTCTGGTGAAACCGGAAGTGGCCAAAATATGTTAAATATGTCAAAAAGTTCTAAATAACACTGAATAAAAGTAAAAATAAAAAGTTAAGAACATATCCGGTGAAACCGGAAGTGACCAAAATATGTCAAAAAGTTCTAAATTACACTTTATGACATGACCCTAGATAAAATACCAAATTTTTGCGTTGAACCACGAATTTACTAGAAAATGGCATTTTAATTAAAAAAATAATCATCAACTTCAACCAAAAATAAATATGAAGTAAAAAAATGTAGCAATGTCAAAATTTTGACCTCAATTTTTGTTTGGCTTTTTTAGAAAAAACTAAAGTCAAGTCAAATCCAAGCCGGACTCTACATAAACACAATCATGCGTTGTCCATGCTCTATTCACGTGATCGACGAAGATTGTTGCACTGGGCCGTATTAAAATATATTTAATCAATATTATTGATCATTTAATATTTTAAATTTATTTTTTTAAACTTTGATGGAAAGGTTTTAAAATATTTATAAAGTTTATATTTTTTAAATTACGAAATTAACAAAATTTTGGGAAATAAATTCATTATTATTTTAAAATTATTTTTTTAAACTTTAATGTAAACTTTTTAAATTTTTTACGAAAAATATATTTTTTAAATTAACTTCACGAAATTTTTGAAAATTATTTTAAATTTATTGTTTTAAACTTTAATAATTAAAGTTTAATGAAAACATTTATAATAACCTCTTTTATTTCCACACTTAAGTGATTTCTTTTAGACCGTTTTTTTAACTGGGCTTAAGTCCTCAAAATGTTCAGCTTCGTCTGTGCTAGACATCGCACTTAATTGAATAATAATAATAACAATAAAAACCAAATAACCAAAACAATGATAGCAATAACAACAAAAATAACAACAAATAACGTTATATAACAAGTATTAATAATAAAACAATAACAAAAATAAGCACAAAGATGAAAGCCGCGAAAACAAGGAAGTAATCAAACAATACGCTATTAATAACCGCAATGGACATAATGCGGCCCTGGCAAGAATTTTCGGCACGCTTCACAACTCAGAATCGCCCAATAAGAACCGTTCTATCCACCTGCAAACTACTGATCACGCGTCTGGCGTTTTTTGTTTTAGTCCGTCTTGGATTTGACTTGACTTTAGATAATATCATATAACATATTATGTTTTTTCACATGTGTAATAAACAATAAAAAAAATAACAAAACTTACTTAGCGTCGATCATGATCTGTCGAGCGCGCATGCCGGCCATCGAGGGCCCGGCCTGCAGGTTGGCGCTGGAGAAGGTGATGCGCCGCCTGGCCAGGTGGCTGAGCCTGCGACCGGGCGACTTGAGCGCGCCCCATCGGTTCTTCTGCATGCGCCGCTTCGACGGGCTAGACGCGGATCCCGCGCACTCGAACGCAGTGCACGACGACTGCGTCTCTGCGCCCACGCAGCGCTGCCCGAACTTTGCCAGCAGCAGTTCCAGCTCCTCGGATATTTTGCTGCGGTTGAAGCTGAAAAGATTACATTGTATATTACTATTTGGGACAACTACACTCACAGGCAAAATAATCGATCCACACAAATTTTCGATGAATTTCAATCGCAAATAACTTTTTTATTTGATGTCGGATTTAAACAAATATTTAAGAATATTGTAGATAAATTAATGGACAATCGCTCACATTTTAAAAAAATACTAAAAAATACACGTACGTTTATAATATACAGGTTTAAACAAAAAGATGTTTTTTACCATAAGTAGAGTGGCAAAACCGTATATTGTTCTAAATTAAGTTTTATTTACCAAGTCACATCTATTCTTAACAGTTTTGTTTTTGGTTTACCTCGATATATTTATTTTTGTGGATTTTTTAAAAAAAATTACAATTTTCAATATTAGGCTATCATAGGCTATGGAGAATGACAGTGACAGTTTTGTTGAATCGTCCCATACTTGGACATGTCATACACGGCTTTCAAAAGCTATCAAATTGATTTTTTGCAAATTAGTGTTTTAATTTTGAGGTGTCTTCTTACTTTAAAAAATGGATATGTCTTCGACTGATGTTGCCAGAGCCATTAATTTAATTCAGGATGGACGGTCACAGTATTACGGGACAAGTGTTTTAAACGTCTGAAGAAGTAAAGTACAAAGAGCAACATCAGTAGGAGACATTTTTAAAAGTAAGAAGACACCTCAAAATTAAGACATTAATTTACAAAAAACAATTTAATAACTTTTGAAAGCTGTATATGACATGTCCAAGTATGGGATGATTTAACAAAACTGTCACTGTCATCCTCCATAGGCTATGGATGGACCATAGCAACCTTAGTTCTTCATACAGGAAAACTATTGGAAATTGCAATGTTTTTTAAAAAAATCCATATTTTCCACAAAAATAAATATATCGAGGTGAACCAAAAACAAAACTGTTAAGAATAGATGTGACTTGCTAAATAAAACTTAATTTAGAACAATATACGGTTTTGCCACTCTACAGAGTGTCTTAAACTTATGGTAAAAAACACCTTTTTGTTTAAACCTGTATATTATGAACGTACGTGTATTTTTTACGAGGGGGTAGTCACTTGCGATTTCTTAGTACAGAAAATCTCCATTTGTGGAGATCTTCTTGAAACTCCGCAGATCTCCATGGATATTCTTGGATCTCCAGGGATATCCTGGGATCTCTAGAGATATCCTTGGATCTCCATGAATATCCTTTGGATTTCCATGGATCTCCATGAATATCATTTGGATTTCCATGGATCTCCGTGCATCTCCTCTAGACCTCCAACCTTCTTTATCTCTGCCTCCATATACAATAACTTTTTAATTTTATATAGAATTAGATCTTGGGATAAAACACGTTTTTGCTGTCAGAAAGTCGTATTTTGATATTAATAATAATTTGTATCCATATTTATAAAATGGATAAATCACAAACTGTTTAGCGGTAGTAAGTAGACTATATTACGAGTGGTTTGTAATACTTTACTCGACTTTACCTTATAATAGTAGATTATGTACCTAGGTAGCTACCATGGCAGAAAATGGATTATTTTTCTCGAATGACTGTAACGTTAACTAACTCAGTTTTATTTTACCCCCGTATTTAACTCACAACTTGTTATGGTATTTTAGAGGAGATAAAACATAAAATTAATAGAAAAACAAAAAATTAAAACATCAACTTAGTTTTATTAAAATAAAAAAGTTTAACACATGACTAGGTATATACTAAACAAAACATACAATGCAAAAAAACAATACCTATTTAGGTATTATAAAATAACAAAAAACATAGAAACACCAAGATTATTATACAATAACAAAAAACTTATTGTAGAGGAACACTACGTAAAAAAAAACATTATATAATCACCGTAATGATAACTCCGGAGTAATTTGGAATAAACACATAAAATAGGAACAAATTACCACTATAAAATTTTAAGGAACTCGAAAAAAAAACTCTCTCTAAGACAAATCTGAGTTAAACACTTTTTTTTAAAGATTTATGTATACATAAATCTATAATCTATAAATAAAATAAATAAATCTATAACTCTATAGAGTCTGTATTTTTACTCTGTCTGATCTTGACAGTTTCATACGGTGGGTACCGAGCATTGTAATGGGCCCATACATAATTTGAATTGGCTCTATTAGTTGGAGATCATCTTGTTTCGGCCAATAGAATTCTTCAAGGTCTTCTTTCATAAACTTCATTTGAATATTTTCAGTTAGGTTTTCTTGATCTTCATTAACCACCTTCGAGACCACCTTTCCAATATACCACATTTTACCATACATGACTGCATAATAGTGCTCATTTAAAATGTTTATTTTTTGCGTATCACATTCTTCTTCTCTTTCAGAGTTAATGTCTGAGATCTCCGTGGAGTCGTTACAAGAAAACTCATTCGAATCACTTTCAGTCTCACGTTCAGCGCTCGTTTCAGAACTAGATGAATTTCGGCGGGATGTAGAGGGTGCGTTTTTTGCTCGGTTTTTTATTTTGTGACTCTTTGGTAGCCTTTTTCGTGAGGTTTTTTGTTTTGATGTCTTTTTAATACCACCTCTAATATTAATTTTTTTCTTTCTATTTCTATTTATTTTGAATCTTTCTAATCTATCTGTGCTCAATTTTGAATTTTCATTAAAGAACCAACATAGGGACGATTTTTTAAAGGTTTTTATGAAGCCATTCTCCAAAACAACTTTAAGGAATTGACTGTTATTATCAGAAGGCTTTAGCTTTTTGCCAGTGAAGTCTTTTAGTGTTAGGGATCCCTTGTAAGACTCCAGGTATTCTCTGACATTCTCGGACGGTGAATCGCTATCGTCAAACCGATTTGTTTCATTGTCTTCCAGAAAGTTTTGTATGCTACCGGAACTGTCTTCGTAGTGTTGCACAATATTATCATCTAAATCACAGTCAGGTTCTTCATCAAGATCTTTGCTATCACAGTCTAAATCTTTGATTTCATGCAGGTCAACTATAAAAGGGCCATTCCACGCGTAACGGATAGGACAGTTGCCGTGTTTTTATTTACAAAATAATATTGTTCTACGAGCCCTAACCACATAATGTTCGGACACTTCATAATTTATACAGAAATTTTTTTCGTGAATACTATCTCAAAATTATTAGAAGTTATGAAAAATTCAGCTTATTTTGGCATATACCCCTCGAAGCGATTTTTATTTTTAAAAAGTTTACCTTTTATTTTTAGCTTTTAAAAAAAGGCTAACTTTTTAACTTTTTTTTGCATGAGTAAAAAAAGTTATAAATGGGCCCATTAAAAAGAACATAAAATATTATACAAACCCTGAAAATTTGGTAAAAATTGTATAAATAATAAGAAAGTTATAGCGATATATATATCTGCAAAATCTCCCGTTTCCTAAGAAAATTGCAAAAACTCTTTAAAAATAGCATTTTTAAATTACCTACTTATACTTTTTTATAACTTATTTATTTTTTACCAAATTTTCAGGGTTTGTATAATATTTTATGCTCTTTTTAATGGGTCTATTTATAACTTTTTTTACTCATACAAAAAAAAGTTAAAAAGTTAGCCTTTTTTTAAAAGCTAAAAATAAAAGGTAAACTTTTTAAAAATAAAAATCGCTTCGAGGGGTATATGCCAAAATAAGCTGAATTTTTCATAACTTCTAATAATTTTGAGATAGTATTCACGAAAAAAAATTCTGTATAAATTATGAAGTGTCCGAACATTATGTGGTTAGGGCTCGTATTATATTACCAATGTCAAATTTTTATAAATAGTTCTAAACTAAAGCTGTTTAACAAGGTTTTTATTTGGCCAAATTAGGTATCGTGGTTGACTGTTTAATTCCTTAAAAACTAATAATTTAAAGTGTAACGGACGGGACTTTGTAATAGTCCCGCCAGTTACACTTTAAATTATTAATTTTTAAGGAATTAAACAGTCAATCACGATACTTAATTTTGCCAAATAAAAACCTTGTTAAACAGCTTTTGTTTTGAACTATTTATAAAAATTTGACATTGGTAATATAATAGAACAATATTATTTTGTAAATAAAAACACGGCAACTGTCCTATCCGTTAAGCGTGGAATGGCCCAAAAGTGCTTCGAGGAAATGTAAATTGACCCTGCAATTCTGTTTTAACATCTTCTAGGTAATGAATTCGATTTAATCTGTTTAAAATTTCTAGCATACTGTAGTTGACAACCCGAGAATATGTGCTAGTCATGGATCTGGTGGCTCTAAAAAGCTGTTCGCAGGGTTGACTGCTCATAAGCCATGGTGTAAACATATTTGTAGTTAAACTTTCATCCCTAGAAAATTTCTTAATAAGTGATATTATTGCGTGGGCATTTATTTCAATGCAAGTGTAAGAGTTTAATGAAATAAAATTGTCCTTTAATGTATACAAGTCTGATTGCTTAATCCACTGGCGCCATATTCGTAAAATAAACACGCAGTACCAAAGATTGTATAATCTGTCTTCCACTGTCATTTCTTTTTGTAAATAGGCATCCAAAACTCTCTTTATAATGGTTAAGTATAACACAGTTGCATTGCTATCAATAATTTCAGTCTTCAATAATTCAATCACCTTTGTATCACAAATTTTTAGAACGGACGCAAAATTCATTTTATCCTCACAGTCGAAGTCTGTCGCTACCAAAAAGTGTAATCCTTTATCAAAATTACATAATAAATATCTTAGGTGGTCGACAGACACAAAAAAATTTCCAAATGGTAACAAAATATTTGGTTTTATTAGTCGGTTTCTTAGCTTTGTGCCTATGTGTACTGTATCTTGCACAGATATAATTTCAGGATCAACGGTGGCATGAAACCATGGCCATTTACTAATTTGTTGAACTGAAGACAATTTAGACATGTATTTCATAACTTTTAACAGGCGACTGTCACCGTCCGAAGACATTCCAATAAATGCTATTCCTTGAGCCTTAGCAATAGATACTGTAGTTCTCCATCTTTTCAGAACATCCTTGGCATTAAATTTATTATCTGAACCATATACGCAGTAACAAAATGAAGAACTTTTGTTTTCTAAAGGTTGTGCAACTAATGCATATGCATAGATGGCTTTGCTCTCTTCTTTAAATTGTCGTTGTATCTCATGAACTGATGTTGCCTTAAAAGCCTTATTATTTGGATATCCATCTGAGTTGAAGGGTAGTACAAATCCAACATTAGTGTTTGTCGCTGGGCAATATTGAATTCTTCCGTTAATTCTAGTGCCATCTTCGCTTACCCATACTACTTTTCGAAGGTTCCGTTTTTCCAAATTTTACGTATCTCCACCGGATCTCCACGAATCTCCACATATCTCCACAGGATCTCCACGTATCTCCACCGGACATCCATGTATATCCACGAACCTCTATGGATTTCCACAGATCTCCACATATCTCCACGGATCTCCATGAGATCTCCATCCCCAAAGACAGAAGATTTCCACAGTGACTACCCCCTCGATTTTTTAGTAATTTTTAAAATGTGAGCGATTCTCCATTAATGTATCTACAATATTCTTTAACATTTGTTTAAATCCGAAATCAAATAAAAAAGTAATTTGTGTGGATCGATTATTTTGCCTGTGAGTGTACTATGGGCCTTGTATTAATTGAATCTTTTTTGCAAAAAAGAGTCCATTAAAAATATCAAGCTACAAAATTTTTTTTTTCGGCACAATTTTTTCGGAAATTTTAAAACCCTATACTACACGAAAGTACGACAAAAAAACATTATTTTTTTTAATTTTTAGGCAAATTTATTATTTTAGATACTATTTTTTTAATCTTTACGTTCGCAAGCCACTTTTAAGAGATGCCGAATAAAGAAGTTGTAAACATTTTTTCTACTCCTACCTTTAAAACGCCCATTATCGTACAGGTTTCCATAACACTAAGCGACCTATTAAATACGCATCGACAAGTTGCGGTTTTATTTCGCTTTAGTCACGGGCTGAAGTTAGCAACAGGTTTTTAGTCACGGGCTGAAGTTAGTTTTAAGTTAGTTGACAGTTGTCAAATGTCATACAATCGTTAAAATGATAATCATGAGGAAAATATTTTATTATCTTAATACAAAAATAAAAAAGTATTAGGGACCAGTTAAAAAGTTTATATGTACGTTTGTTTAAGATTAGATTTAACTATGATACGTAAAAAGTCAATAAAATGTAAAATATAATTTTTGACGATTTATGTTGTAAATGGGAAAATAAACGTGAAGATTAAAAAAAAATTAAGTCTAAATATTTCATTGTTTATTATAAAATTTTCTTACCAAGCGATTTTTTAAATTTTATAAAAAAACAGAAAATTGGATATTGGCATTTTGCTTTTTTCTTTTCATAAAACAGTGTTATTATCCTATATGTACATATGTTTAACAATTTAATGATAAACCCACCATGAAAATTGAACAGAAACTTTTAAAAAATATATAAATTGATTTAAATATAAATTTAAATAACAAAATATAAATAAAATAATAATAACAAATATTTATTTGGTATAAAATAGTAAATGTTTATAATAATCAATTTCCATTGATCTAAATTCTATAAGTGGTCTAAAAAGAAGAAATCTGTATCTTGACATCCATTTTAAAATTATTTATTACGGACGTAATATTACGTCCAATAATTGAACAAATGTCCTTTCTTTGCAGTTATTTTTAAGGCATAAGTTACCTACTAAATAAACGACAAAATGTTCGAATTTTCCCCACTATATTTAAATTTGTGTTATACGGTATATTAAAAATAACATCCAATCAACTTAAATTTAAAATCTACAAACTTTGAAGGGCTGTTAAAAAGAATGTACCAACTTGTATTCAAATTTAAAAAAAAAATAGGCCAACGGATGTTTCTAAGGGACCCCCTTGAAGAATTCACTATAGATTTGTTAGCCTTGACTTAGGTAATTAGTGTTTTATTTTTATAAAATCTGCATAATATGCAAAGGTCAAGATAAAATGGGTCAAATTTATAAATATGGATTTGATAATATCAAAATATGTCCCAATACTTAAAATACAAACTTTATTTAATAATCCTAAAATGATTAAAACACAGTGGCAATAAAACTTTGTAAAATATATCGTGTTTATTATCTTGCATTTTAAGAAAAGTACCTGGTAACATTATCAGTAAATATAAAATTAGATACTATTGTCAAGATAAAAACCTTATGCAAAAATAGCGCAGAAACAGGTAATGCAGATATATCACTTGTCTTTCTTAAAACATGAGAACAGTAGTGAAAAGAATCAAAGAAAGAGGCATTTAAATTTTAAATCTCCCCTTCCTCTCTGTAATACCCTTAAACTGGTTTCTTCACAGGGTTTTAAAATCGTTTTTACCTACTTTCGCCTACCGATTTTTAAATGTTTAACGTTTATTTTTGAATTAATAGAAAATATTGATTTAGTAAACACAATTATATTCATTAGATAATATTTTGTAAATTAGATTACTAAGTAGGTTAGCATTATAGTTTACTTATGGAATGTTAAACAATTTAAAAATAGGAAAACAAACATCTGATATTGTTCTACCATATATATATTATTTAAAAAAATCTTGTACTTACTGCAAACCATGAAATCTCTCCTCCATATCTTCCGGAAAGTCTTTTTTCACATAACTAGAAGTAGTAACAAGCAAAGACTTGGAACCACCACAAAAACTTTCATCACTGGTGTTTAGCACTTCTTCTGGTGTATTTTCAGATGAGTTATTGGACCAGAAGAACTCCTTATTGCTTTCCAGCTTTGCCAGCATATCTTCCACTGATAAATTCATTACTGTGACACTGCTGGGGGGAGGAACACCACTTAACGCGTTTTGAACACGCTTTAGAAGTCTTGCATCTTTTTTGATGATATATTTTTCCTCTGCTATGAAATCACTTGGAACTACCACTTTCACTTCTTTGGGTATCACTAAGGGTTCTTCGTCAAACAAATCAGGGCTGTATTGTGGATCAATATTATTTTTGAGTAATTTTTTGGGGGTTTTTGACTTTGTTGAAATGTTTTCCTTGTTTTCTGTATTGTAAGTTTTGTAGGTATTTTTCGGTTGGGATAAAACTAAGTTTTGATTTGTTATGTCATTTAATATTATATTGGGTTTATTGAAAACCTTATTTTTATCACATTGAGGTTCAGCTTTAACAGGAATTAACACAGGTGTTTCAAGAATTTTAACTGGGGTTTTACCTTTCAATTCTTCGACTATTGAGGTTTCTAATTTTATACTTGCATTTGATATCTCCATATCTTCAAGTTGCAGGTTTCTTGAAACGTCTTGTTCCGCAGTTTTGTTTAGAGTGCCATTAGCACTATCATTAGTACTTTCACTATAAACTATTGGTTCTATGATTGCAATGTCAATGGACATGTCGCTATCATTGCTGGAACCACTATTAAATCCGCTAAACTGCGTTTCCACACTTGGTAGTGACGGGTTTACTATTTCGTCATCGTTTAAATTAAACAACCTGTGCATTTCTTCGTGATCTTCCTTGTCGATTTCCACGCTCAAATTCAAGTTTTTAATGTTGATATCTGGTCGCTCAAGTAAAGCATCTTCGCTGAGGAAAATTGATTGGGAGAGAAAACTTAGCGGGTTTGATTCCACGGTAGCGTTTTCCATTGAGGAATCAGAGTTCGATTCCTGATTATGCGACATGTAGCCGCTATCATAGTCCATTATGTGCAAATTGGGGTCTGTTTTCAAGGCATCTCCGCAGTACTTGGAAAACGACATTTCCATTTTATTGGGGCGACTGGGTGTGCTCGAAAACGCGTTCAATTCGGCTTCTGCGGTGAAAATTATCGCTGAAAGCACTTTGTTTATGTCGTCGCTTTTTTTGGCGGCTATTTTCTCAAACCCGCGAAACTCCCTTTCCCTTGTATTCATAACTACACCGAATAGTACACATGCTTAACACAAAACCTGCCACTACACACGGGTTTTTCTCTTAGATTTGTAGGTTTTAATCTGAATTTGTATTCATTAACGGAACAAACACGCCAAACTTAACCGACAATGATCAAGCGGCCAACCACACAAAACTGAACAGCTGTCATGCGTTTAGGGGAATGAACTCCAATGCCCTGTGGCGCCAAATTTAAAAATGTCACCAATTATTTTATTTATTTACGAATGAATGAATAGAAATTTATGTATACTTTAGTGACAGTCATTACAAATAACTAATTCTGTTATAATGTTAGTCTGTATTTACTTTCTGTAACGACTTAATGGAATAATAATAACCTAATATGCGTTTTACAATAAAAATCATTCTTCATAAATACATTCCTTTGTTTAAAAAAGAAATAGGAAAATGCTTCAAAAGAGTACGAAATAAATCATTTTTCGTAAAAATTCCTGATTGTTTAAAAAATGAGATTTCCATAAAAAAAATTGAATTAAATTAACAGGATGCTCAGAAATTAGGAAAACATGAAAATGCTTCAAAGAAAAGTACCTTTATTTATATTTTATAGAAAAATGTTATAAGAGAAAGTTGTTGACGATTTCAATGAAAGGCTAAATTTCCATAAAAATTTGATTCAATGTACAGGGTGCTCAAAAATTTAAAAAAAACGTGAAAATGCTTTGAGACCCAACCCTGCGTTTTACGAAAAAAATCATTCCACATAAAAACTCCTGATTATAAAATGAGATTTTTCATAAAAAAAATTGAATTAAATGTACAGGATGCTCAGAAATTGGGAAAACATGAAAATGCTTTAAGAGAAATACCCTGCGTTTTACGAAAAAAAACATTCTTCATAAAAACTCCTGATTGTTTAAAAAATGAGATTCCTATAAAAAAAATTAATTTAATGTACAGGATGCTCAGAAATTAGGAAAACATGAAAATGCTTCCAAGAAAAGTACCTTTATTTATTATTTTATAGAAAAATTTTATTAGAGAAAATTGTTGACAATTTAAATTAAAGTCTAAATTCACATAAAAATTTTAATCAATGTACAGGGTGCTCGAAAATTAAAAAAATATGAAAATGCTTCAAAACCCAATTTTGCGTTTTACAAAAAAAATCATTCTTCATAAAAATTCCTGATTGTTTAAAAAATGAGATTCTCATAAAAAATTGAATTGAATATACAGGATGCTCAGAAATTAGGAAAACATGAAAATGCTTCAAAGAGAAGTACCTTTATTTATTATTTTATAGAAAAATGTTATAAGAGAAAATTGTTGAAAATTAGTACCCTGCGTTTTACGAAAAAAATCATTCTTCATAAAAACTACTGATTGATTAAAAAATGATATTCCCATAAAAAAATTGAATTTAATGTACAGGATGCTCAAAAATTGGGAAAACATGAAAATGCTTCACAAGAAAAGTACCTTTATTTATTATTTTATAGAAAAATGTTATAAAAGAAAGTTGTTGACAATTTAAATTAAAGTCTAAATTCCCATAAAAATTTGAATCGAAAATTAAAAAAACATGAAAATGCTTTGAGAAGTACTCTGCGTTTTACGAAAAAATTCAATCTTCATGCTTCTTCAAAAGAGAGTGTACCAAAATGTTACCAAATTTTACTCTTTTACTTTGAAATAAAACTAAAATAATATCATAAGTAAATTTATTTTAAAATATTCATATTTATACATTTTTCATTTATAACAGAAACATCATTCCCAGTCTAAATCTATCAAAGTTAATGATTCAATAAGATATATCTTGTTGATTTTACCTACATATTTTCATCACAGTTACAATTAACATAATTTACATTAGGTTAAGTAGTTAGACATTTAAATGTTATTATATTGGCTACAAAACTGTTTTACATGAAACCAATGTTTTAAACAAAACAGTTACTAGTAACTGAGTCCGGAAAATATACTTTTTTAGTGCACATACAAACTTAATAAACAACTAAAATTTAATTGTAATAAATTAAATCTTAAATAGAAAATGTTATGAAATAAAAAGGTTGTGCTCATACAGGAAAGTTCTATTTTCTGGACTATTTAGTCATATAATAATAAAAAATAATAAAACAAACTATTACTACGAATATGTGTATAATATTTTCTGTGAAGAGATATACTATGTCGGAAACGTTTTCCTGAAAAACAAAAAACAAATAAAATCTCTGCCGACGTCACGACATTGGTAAATTAAATTACCTTTAATTATGGCGTCAACGATGGGCAGGTTTCCACGTGCTCTTCCACCAAACGCAACGAACGAAACTTGCTGTTGCATATTGGACAAGAGTATATTAGAAGTGGAGGAGACTGCAAATAAATCATCAAAATAAGAATTCAGTCAAATATGCATCAAGAACAAAAAAGGTGTGACCTTCTCAAAGTATGCAAGTGTCGCAGACAGCGCCCTCTACAAAGTTATTTAATAAATTCGGCAACGACTTTCAACTGTAACAGCCTGTGTATTGGTTATTATCGACTTTTGTGTGCAAGTGAATTGTTATATCGGAAATAACTTTAAACAGGTGTTTAATTTAATTTAAAGCAATACCTACAAATGTGTCTGTGGTACCCAAGGAATCCAAACAAAATAAGACAAAAGTGATAGTAAATTCGTTTAATTATAATTAATAATACTTAATTAAGGTTTTTAATAACATTCTGATTGCATAACAAATAAATCAATATTTTGTGCTTAAATCCAATCACGTTGAGTAATTACGAAAAAATACACTGATAACAATTAAAACTTTTAAATTTATGACTGCGAAATTTATAAAATATCAGCGTACAAATTTACAATAAAAATAATAAAAAAAGTTACTGGAAGACTAAAAAATGCCTATTAAATTGAAAATAAGTACATAACAATTTTATTGGGATATAGAGAGTATGTAGGTACAGTTTAAATAAGCAATTAAAAATAATGTTATGAAGTATTTAAAGTTCCTCTTGGGAAGAAATAATAAATTTGGTGTTTATAGTTAATATGCACAAGAGCAAATTTATTAACATGGGTAGTAGATAGTTTTTTCCACATATCACTCTGCTTAAATCACCTCCCACTCTCTGTCTGCATTAACAAGTCCCAACGGTTAATCGAGCGTGTTGTTCGGAAAAGGAAAGTGCTGCAAGTACCGCCGAATTCAAATGTACGTGGCGGAATTTTTGAGGCTGGCCCCGCAGGCCTGGCAAGCGCGCGAATCCTTGGGGTTGACTAAAGTGCACTTTTTGCACTCCGCCCCGCCGATCTCCATCTTCATGTCTTCGTCGGCGCCGCCGCCCGCGTTACCGCCCCCACAAGCCTTGCGCGTCTTGCTGCACATCTCGCAGATGTCGCGCTGGCGCTCGTTAAGGTACGTACACGCCCGGCATTGCCAGCTGCTCTCCTTCTCCTCGATAGAGTTTGCCTGAGGCCGGGCCTGCACCTTCTTCTCCTCCTTCGCCCTCCCCCCTCCCGCTTCCCTCGCTTTACTACCAATCAGAGTCGCTTCCTTGATCGGCGGGATTTTCTCTTTCGCTAGACTTTTCGTCAACGGTTTGGCGTAGGTGTTGCTATTCTTTTTTATCTCCTACACATTTGAAAATATGTATACACAACTTGTGCACGTATGGGGTTACAGAGAGGAAAAATGTATTTCACATTTCCCAGAAAATTTCATTCCTGATTTCTCCACAATTTTTACTTATGAAAAATGCATAAAACAGCGATAAAAAAATTATTTTCAGCGGTAAATTGAAAAGTAATAGAAACGAAAATGATTTTTATCAAAAAATTTTCATAAAAACGATAAAAAGAACGTGTCGCATATCCTTGGGGTTTGAAGTCAAGCAAAAACTTTTATCAAGAATTAAATTTTCTGGAAAATGTAAAATGTGTTTTTTCTTCTTTGCAACCCCATCATGTGTGGACACACTGTATATGGAAGTTGTATGTATTTTTCTGTATTTCAAGTAAAAGTAAAAATTGTAATCTTAAACCCTTCTAAAGGGTTTAATTTGTTTAGTGGATCCTTTTTATCAATTTGTATTTGAAATAAATATTTAAAAACATAACTATGACGAAGTTGGACAATAACTGAATTTGTAGGGTCTCTTAATGTAACCCACTTTTAAAGAAATGTTACATTATCAAACCACAATTAAAAGGGTGCACTGAACAATAAGTACGGTTATTCGCAGCGTCATTTAGAAAGTATAACTTTTTCTCGCAATATAAATAAAAAAGTTATATTTTTATTAAAAGAGAGAATAAACTAAGGCGTAAAAAAAATTTGAACATTTCTCAAAGTATGCAAGTGTCGCAGACAGCGCCCTCTACAACCTACATTAATTTTTTTAAAGAAATTTTACCCCCAAAACAAATTTTGTGCAAATCGACAAAAACACAAAATTCAAGATGGCCGTCGATTCCCAAAGTTAGAGATTAAGGAACTGTTAAAATAATTAAATTATAATTATAGTGCATTAATTTTAAATAAATTTAATTCCCCAAGCACCATTTTAAGTAAAAGCGTAGAACTTTGAGGCAATATTACTTAATTTAAGTAAATATTTTATTAAATTAACCTTAAAAAAATTTACTCTGAAGTAAAACTTTTTTTAATGTTTTATTTACGTTATTTTTACCTACTTTAATAACCCTTAAGTTTCAACACTTTAAAGTATTATGAGGGACGTAATTTTTACGAAAAAAATTACTTACAAGTGTATTTCACCTAAAGGAAATTTTAATGGTAATTTTAACGTCAGAATTTTACGATATTAAGACCGAAAACAATTCCTATTCGCCTGGTATTTTTTAGGGTTAATAGTGGTAATAAATACTATTAATATTGACTAAACAAGGAAAAATAAGCTTAAAGTGAGTTTTTTCCATTACTTATCTAAACATTTATATAATATTTTTCTAAAATATAGTAAGTTATATTTTTAAATTTTAATCTGGGGTGGAATTTATTACTTTGTAAAATATAAATTAAAGAACAAACGAATGTCAATGTTTTAAAAAGAGAGAGCAAACTGTTAGTAATTATAGCGTTATTTTTACGTAAATTTGTAAATAAAATCACAATTTAAAACAGGGTCTATTTGGAGCATACAAAACAAGGATAAACCTTGGAGCAGCATTTAAGGTCACAAAACACTCAAGAAACTCCTTTAATTTTATGGAGCTACACCAAAAGATACCACCATTGGGAATAACCGCAAAAAACAATTGTATCGATAAGATTAAAAAGTCTTAACGATGAAATCATTTAACCCGCCCAACTTAACGCCAAACAAAAAAAAATACTTGCAACAATAAATTTCGACTTACGTCTGAATGGGCGCTGTGCGCTGGAGATGGCATCCTGGGCGGAGCTACCCACTCCCGATTTCTAAGCAGCTCCACCTCCTCTTGCAGCTCCTGGTTTCTCCTGTGCAGATTCATCAGATCCTCCGCCAACTGGTCGCGTTCGCTTTTAAGAGTCTCTTTGGCAGTTCTTTCGGCTTCAAAGTCGCTTTTATATTGCTCTAACTGAACTTCGAACATGGAAATTTTGTCTTTCTGCTCCTGTGAAGCTTTCTCGTCGCTATTCTGCAGCTGGCCTGCCAAGCTGTCGCGTTCTTGCAGCAGCTGACGGTGCGCGATCTGCGCCTGCATCAGCTGCTGCTGAACGTTCACCAGCTGCTCGTTGGAAGAGCAAATCAGCTGGTTCATGTTCCTGTTTTCTTGCAGCAACTGCGCAACAACAACATGCATTAGAATTTTTTCGATTGAAGAATAGAATTTCGGTTGATTATTCTTTATATCATTGACTAAGAAACTCAACGCTTAAATGCTAAAATTCAAGAACTAAATCGTTGCATTTTCATGTTTTGCTAAAGGATCCAAAGTACTATGCTCCACACCTCAAAGTCCCACCACGTGACCACGTGCGGAACGCAGTCTTTTGAAAATTTGGCATTTAAGGCTTTTCAGGTTATGTATCTGTCAAAGTATAGTCGACGAAAGAAATAATATTTATAGTGTTACCGCTTATGTTTAAGCGTTAAAAGTTAATAAATCTTTATAGTATCACAATAACAATGGTTGGTTTAAGAATTTAGGAATATAAATACTGCATTTAAAGAAATTCCAAAGTGTTAGGTGCAATATAAGTGATATTTTTGTGCATTGGGTCTACATTTCTCCATAAAATAGTTTGAACTAAACAGCATTTATTAAAAAAATCTAACTTCTCTATTATGAAATAAGAATATCTGTTTCAAAGGTAGGTTAATGTATTAGAACAAAAAATATCATCTAATTTTGTATTTTAAGGTTAGAAAAATCTATTTTGACCAAATATAAATAAGTGGATTATTTGGAAGAGTATGTTAATATGGTCATAAATAAATATAGGTATACTAAATAATTGTTGAATATGGTTCAAATTAAATTAAAGGTTTTATACTTCTAATGACAAAACTTGTGCATACCTCTCGGCATACCTACTTTAAGTTAGATTATAAGAAAACAAACAATTTTTAGAGAAACTTGCAATGTGAAAATATTTAATACTCCCATGACATGTGATTTATTAAAATTTTTAAAGTTATAATGATTTTTCGATGTAGATCAAGTTCAGTCAAAGCTTTTTAACTATTTGTATTGCCAAAACTTTATGTAGGTACACTTTAAGCTGGATAAGAAAAACTACCACATTTTTAAATACCATATTATACAGTCTTTTAAATAATCTAAAATACTTATTTATTTTGGTCAAAATAAATTTTTCTAATCTTTAAATTACAAGATTAGATGATATTTTTGTTATAATACATTAACCTACCTTTAAAACAGATATTCTAATTCCTTAATCGAGAAGCTGGATTTTTTTAAATAAATGCTGTTTAGTTAAAATTATTTTATGGAGAAAACCAGATATTTGGACCAAATGCACAAAAATATTACTTATTTGGCACCATACACTTTAGAATTTCATTAAATGCAGTATTTATATTCTTAAATTCTTAAACCATCCATTGTTATTCTAATGTTATAAAGATTTATACATTTTTAACGCCTAAACATAATATTATATCTTTCGTTGACTATACTTTGACAGATACATAACCTGAAAAGCCTTATGCCAAAGACTGCGTTCCGTAGGTATCTAACGTTCTTTTTTTTATCTGAACTGCGGCAACGTTGCAAATTTAGGGTATTGGTTGGTAAATACAGTTGTCAAGTTGGTCGCATTGATTAAAACAAACTAAGCTAGTTATAAATCTAATTGCGGTTATGTATTAATTATTGCAGGTTACATTGTGCAGTTGTCAAGTTGAGTTGTCGAAATTCGTAGTTAAAAATGCAATTAATTTGGCTTTGGTGGTGCTTGGATGAGTAAAATCATATAAAAAAGTAGTTAAATATAGGTTGCTTTACGGCCCAGAAGAGAAAGTATTCCTAGCGGATAATAATCTTCGCTTTGAAAATAATTTATATAAAAGAAATTAAAATTTTTTGTGAACGTAAATGTTGTCCAATGGCGAATAATGTGAAAATAATGTGTGATGTAATATTTATAAAACCAAATTCGTTACTTTTTTACTCCAAAAATGTCCATAAGGCGATGTACTTTTTCTTCCATTGTGGCATTTGGCCCTCAAAAGGGCTTTTACATTCGAATTCGTTGCTATTATTTTTGGCATAATTATCTTTTTGTTTATAATTGACAAGTAAATTATCAATAATAAATATTATTGTAGTACCATTTTTAAATACTATAAATACTAAGTCAAACAAAAAAACACGAGTCTAGATAAAAAAAAATGAACTGTAATGAGTTGGTGTAGAAGATTTTAACAATGAGGTTATAATTAAAATAATAAAATAATAAAATCTCAATACCTGTTCGTTATATTTCGATAGAGAATCGAGCTTTCCATTTGAAACTCTTAAAGCTTCTTCATTGGTGTTTGGCTTATTAACCATTTTTTTGGCATTGTCAACTTCTATTTGAAGTAAATTGTTGCCGGAACTAAGCGAGTTCACCATTTGTCTTTGCTCTTCAATCTTCCTGTGCAAAACTTCCTTCTCCTTTTCAAGCTAAAATAAATATCATCAATAAATATTTGATTAAACTAAAAATTTGTACTCACAGTTACAATATATTCCTTAGCAACTTTCAATTCCTTTGGGATGGATTCCGCAATAAGTGAGTTTGCCATTTTGCTTTGGTGTTCAGTTTCCTTTTGAAGTATTTCTTTTTCTTTGTTAAGCTAAAATAAATAATTAATACCACCATATATGTATAATACATAACATGTGAAAATTATAACTTACATTAATGTTTGATCTTTTAATTTCTTCCAACTCATCATTAAGAGTTTTAACTGTAATTTTTAACTAAAACAAGATATAGTTAATAAACAATTTTTTTACTTTGCCTTCTATTACTTACTTCCTCAATTTCAGTTTTTAGTGCATCAACTTTTTCTTTTTCTTGCCCTTCAATTGATAACTAAAAACATCATTCTTATTGTTAAAGGGATTTTATTAAAAGCGATGCGTTTTTAAATGTGCAAAAAATAAATATACGATTTTATTTCAATTTGGATTATACACAGTAAAAAAAATTTCCCGTGTAAATTTTTTAGTGTAGGGGTAAAAATATTAGAGTTGATTTGTAAGTGTAAAAGTTACACTACAAAATACACTGGGTAGCATTTAGTGCTTATTAACTTTATTAAACACATTTAAAGAATATGGACATTATTCATTGGTACATTCACACTATTTATTATTAAAATAAATCAAAACTTAATGCGAGTGTCAATTTCTTTGTCCATTTTGATGTTACTAAGAGCTCTTTTTTCTTTACACTACTAGTGCCCATTGTATCACAATTAAAGTTCAATTACACCAATAGTGGCAAAATAGACTGAAAAAACTGGTAATAACCGAAATGCGTTTTAAAATGTTTGGTTGGTACCTATCTACCTACGCAGTGCATATCCGGAGATACCGCGTTGTGGAAGTGTGGCATTTTTGTTCAGTTAGATTTTAATTACGGTGAATTCATAAGGGGACATTCTTATTTTTTGGTAAGTATTATACTTCCTTTTTCTTTAAGCCTTAATACTCAATAAATACCAATATGTTAAAAGGATGTCCATACCCGACCTATATTATATATCAACAATTTACGGCAGTAGGTCGGGTACTTGTAACATTAATAATATAAATACATACACACTTCATTTACCTTTAATTTTCAAGCGTAATGGTTGTTATATTAACCTATACATACATTTTTATTAATATTATGGAAAATTTGTACACGTGTGGTAAATCCCCGACATATAGCCGCCTGACGCCTCTCTACCAATGGGATCACGCATTTTTTATAACAGAAAAATGGATTACTGATGAATTCTCAAGATAATTAATTGCTTACAAGTTGACAGCCAGTAAAACATTGCATTGATCTAAAACTTTTACGTTTTAAGGAACCATTTTGCTTAAGCCAGCCATACGACTCAAATATAAAATTATATTTTAAAAGGCACCGATTTTGATAAATGTCATAGATTTTTGTTCGAAATAAATGTTTCTCTTTATTTACCTTTTCGTTTTATTCACTACCACCAATAGGTTTTACTCAAATAATAGTGTTAATTTACACTAGAAGATTGCACTACAAGAGTAAAAGTACCTTTCTAAAATTAGAACTTTTCCAAAGTAGTGTTAATGTACACTGAAAAAAAGTGGGATTTTACCCAGGAAGTGTAGAAGTACACGATTTTAGGTAAATTAACACTTTTTAATATAGTGTAAAATTATTTTATCCTCAGTGCTATAGTGTTAAATCATACTTGCTTACTTGGGGAAAGTTACACTACAAATTAACTTGTAGTGTTATAAAACAACACTATTTAGTGTGGACCTGTGTGAACTCTAATTAGTGTTGCTAAGAGTTGATTTTTTTACTGTGTACTGTACATCATTTTTAAATAAATAGGTAGTTTTTTCACAAAAAATCGAAAAATTTTGTTCGATTGCACAGCTAAATCGCGTGTTTTACGTTGCAAGGAAAAAATTAAAAAAACTTTTTTAGTACTCGATTTTAATTGATTATTCTTTATATCATTGATTAAGAAACTCAACGCTTAAATGCTTATATAGTTACGTTAGTGTGTGTATTTTATCAAAGGGATCATGGTGAATTATTGTGATTTTAATTAATTGTAAATAAAATTCAAGAACTAAATCGTTGCATTTTCATGTTTTGCCAAAGGATCCAATTCGGTAAGTACATTTGTTGGTGCAGAATTAACTAATGATAACTTTACCTAATATAATTTATATTTAAGTTTGGACATTGATAAGAAATTAGTAAAAAATAATTTTTGCACAAACATAACCTTAAAATCAACCATTTTTATATTTGAGTTCTCTAAAAAACGCCGACAACTGCATTTTAAACAACAAAATATATCTATAGGTATATTTTGTTGTTTAAAATTTATTATGTTGCCATGAATTCATAGGACTGTAGTATTGCAGGATTAAATGGTGAACATGGTAGAAGTAGTTAGTTATCAAAATTACCTTTTCTGTAGAAACCTGCAACTCTTCAACAGCATTGGTATTAAATTTACCATTATTTTTAATTGCATCCTTTTCATACATCAGTTGGGCTATTTGATTTTTTTGCTAAAACACACAATGTTAAATAAAATACATATTAATTATTAGTAAATACTTTAATAATTAATTCCTTGGCCTCTTGGTATTGATTTTTGTTTGTTTGAAAAGTTTTTTCAACTTCTGATTGCCACGCTAACATTCTATCTCTTTGAGATCTCATGCTGTTGTTATTTTCCAATATTGTATCTAAAAATTATTATTAACTTTTAGATTAATAAATATTGTTTTTTTTTTACTTTTTAGCTGTGTATTTTCGTCGATGACTTCATTAATTTTAGCCTGAATATCTTCAGGAATAAATTCACTGCTCACTGTTGAGATGCTTATGGTGTGACTTTCGTTGTTTTCCTTGAAGTAAATAAATAAATATCTTTTGACCTGTTTGGAAAAACTCGAGAAACTACCTTTTCAATATCTTTTTCAATGGAGGGCATTGCTGGTAGGATGGTTGACTCTTCCATCTGAGCTTCAGCTAAAGTACTGACTAGCTTTCTGCCCTCTTCTATGTATTGCCGCATTTTTGGTTCGTCGTCGTTATCCACCTGGATACTGTCCAGATTTGAGTCAATTGAGTTGCCCAAAATAACAAAAGACTCTTCCTCAGAAGGGCCAGCAGCCCCTGGCAAAGGGCTACTAATTGCTGTAGCCATCTTGAAATTAAAAATTATTGATTTTGTACTCAAAATTAAAAAAAACAATAAAGTTGTAATATTTAACATTTTCCTTTGTTGTTATCAAAACTTTATGTACAGAACATATTTAATCATATTTTATGTTATATCGGATCATTGTTATCGCAAAATAATTTTGTGTAATCTAAACTATTTCCTATAGCAACTTTTATTCCATAACCCATTAATTAAAATATATACAACCTGTATTGAATATAAATGGTATACATATAAAGAAAAAAACCTGGAACAGTTCCAACTTTACACTTAACAGCTGATCTATCAAAAGAGAAATCAAGTACTTTGTATAAAATTAAAATAAAATTGGAAAAACAAAATTATTCATATTATATCTTTTTTGCATTGTGCAGGAAATGTGCCAAGACAAGGAAGCTAAGGATCTTCAAGTACAGTCCATAACAGAAACTTAAAATACAGCTCAGTTTCCACATTTTTAGCCGCAATTAATTATTTTTTACAATGTTTTAAAAGTCAAAAACCTATCCTCCGTGACTGTTATTAAAAATTAAAAGAAATAATTTTTATAACCATTTATGTAGGTGATTCTATCCTCCGTGAATCTGTTTTTTCTTTAAATTTTATGCAACGGATGACGCTTTAATCATTTTAAATAAGCAAAAACCTCTGTTTACGACATTATAGATGCATGTGATTCCTCAAGGTCAGTTAGAATTTATATGCAGATGAGAGTGTTGCTGTTTTATAATTTAAAAGTTAAAGTTCATTAATTTGCTATTTAAAAACCTATCCACCGTGAAGTGTAATATCTCAGTAAGTAGTTTTTTATAAATATTTTATATAGGTACAATTGTATTTTTTAAAAATATTAAGGTTTCAAAAGATACAATCAGTTGTTTACATTTTTCTTGCAATGATTCTTTATATTATCTTTTTACCAGGATATTTTATTTTATTGAAAACATTTGACTTATAAATGGCTTTAAAACAAGATATTTTTTTTGAAAACCCATTATTTAAAACATTTAACCTACAAACTAAAATTAAATTTTTCTTTGCACTTTTTTCATTTATTTTTGTTTGTAGCATTTAATATTTGTAGTATTAATCTAAAAATTGAATAATTTAACAGATATTCGAGAGAACATTAATTTAAAATGTAAAAAATCATTTACTAAAGAACATTTTCTTCAAATAGCAACACAAAATAACTAAATTCCCTAGTAAAGAAACATAGAGATTGCTTGGCAACGTCGCAAATCGGAAGCTAAACAACCACAGGTTAGGCAAAAACTTGTTTTTATTGGGGGAATTACCTTACTACGAAATGAAGACTCTAGTAGGTTTTGGAAACCCCCTTTTGGACACAATAGTAAATCTAAACAACAACGATTTACTTGATAAATATGGACTTGAAGCGGATGGTCAAAAAGAAGTCGATGAAGTGGTGATGCAATCAATTTTCAACGACATTTCATCGTATGTTTACTTAGTAATGAAATATTAACTCACCTTTGATGATTTTGCTGTTTTAGACTTGATAAAACACAAACAGCTGGTGGTTGCTGCCAAAACACTTTAAGGGTGTTGCAATGGTTGCTGAACAAGGAGAAATGCACAAGTTTTGTCTATGGAGGGGTGGGAGACGATATCAACGCGAAAATTCTCGAAAATCTTCTAAATCAAGACGGAGTTAAAACACGGTAACCGAACATAACCTCAAATAAAAATCGACTTATCTTTATTGCGTTTTCAAAATGACTCATGCAAGATAAAGTTCTAAATAAAAACATGTCATGTTGCAATGTTAAAAACAGAAATTTCGCGAATAAAAAAATTAATTAAAGATGAAAATATTTTCATAATAAACTATTTACATTTAAAATAATTTATTTAACAATAATAATTTTAGATACACAATCATGACTAAATTTGCAACAGGTTGCACAATAGCCCTAGTAAATGGTACCAACCGATCCCTAGTTGCTAATTTGGGAGCAGCCGAAAACTACACATTAAAAAATATACAATCAACAGATTACAAAGAAAACATTTTAAAAAGCGATTTTGTTTACATAGAAGGTTTTTTCTTGACCAAAAGAAACGATGTGGCCAACTGCATATTCAATTACTGTATTTGTCAGAATAAGTCGTTGATTTTTAACTTGTCTGGCGAGTACTTGGTTAACTCTGAAACAGACATCGTTTTACACTTCGCTAAGAAAGCTGATATTCTTTTCGGAAATAGAAGGGAATACAACGCCTTATGTAAGCACTTGAAATGCAACGATGTAAACAGTCTACTAAAAATACTAAAAGAAGATCGCAAAAATAAGATTGTAGTAGTAACTGATGGATCTGAAGTTATAACTTGCTATCACAGTAATAGCAGGGTGGAATGTATTCCGGCACAACAGTTAAATGCGTCTGAAATTGTTGACACTACGGGTGCTGGAGATTCATTTGTGGCTGGTTTTATTGCGGGATTAATTTTGGAAAAGTCGCCAATTGATTGCTGTAAATTGGGATCACAAGCAGCAAGCTGTATTATTAAAGAAATGGGATGCACTTTTCCAAAAGTAAAGCCAGATTTTTTGTAAAATAACGTTGATTTAATAAAGAATGTATGCTTACCTCAATTTCGTATAACTCTGCTGATATAATCAAAATTTACCACTAGAAATACGTACAATCACTGAAAATATGCTTAATTTGTTTTGCAGTTTATTAACATGTCAAAATATGAATGAAATTTGCTGTATAGCCAACTACCAACCGAAAGAAACTAACTATGATATTACAGTGTTGCCTACCCCATCATAGAATTTTAAACCTGATTTATAGATTCTTCCTCCCGTAATAGATAAACAATACGAAAATCGTAGTGCCATTTATAAATTCCCGTACGGGCAATCTATAAATCAGGCTTTATGCAAACAATAGTGTTTTTAGGTTGCCTATATTAATTCAGTCGGGAATGATTTTTACGATAATTTCTTTTTTCATTAAAAAGTTTAGCAACTTTATAAAATGATTCTTAAATGAAATTTATCTTATTTTTCGTAATAACTTTACTAATTAATTGTGTGGAGACATCTATACAAAAATAGAGTAACTAAATTCTTATAAGGAATCTGTTTTACCAACTTTCAAAGTGGAAGTCGGTTTGTCAAATTTGTCGGTAAAAATTGAAATTTCTCCCTTGAAAATGGACAAACGACCGTTTAAATCGAAGATGGAAGCAGTTTCTCAGTTTCTTACAGTGAAGTAAAGTGAAGCGAAACTTTTATGGCTTTTACAGCAATTATTGCATTTCTTCCGGCAAAATAAAAAGGTCAGTACAAACTATTTAGTATTATTTCATAAGGACACTTTATTTTGACAACTGTATTATATTTGACATTCTCCTTTAAAGCATTTTAATGTTTTCTTAATTTTTTGAGAGTCCAATTATTTATTAAACAAGCCTGAGTTTTTATGAAGAATGATTTGTTATGAAAACGCATAATGGAACGTTTTTTTATTTCCACAAAACACAATTATTTAATCAGCCAATGGTTGCTGTCAATGTCAAAACCTTTGGACCTAGGGACCCTAAATTTAAAATTAACTTTATTGGCTTTAAAAAAATAATCTAGTGGAGAATATAATTGAGGTTAAGAATGTGTTTATAAATTTTAAAAATTTCAAATATAAGTTCTTTTGATGAAATATAGGCGACTACGGCCCAGAAAATTTATTTTTGTTAAAAAAATTTTGTGATCTTTGACCCTGTTTATTATAATTCTGATAATTAATTATTAAATGTAAAAGTATTTAAAATTAAGGCCTTGAACAGAAATACCAATTTTAAAAATTAAAAATACCAAAGTATATTGACATACAGTAGGTATCTACATAATCAAATGTGTTATAAAAAAAAACTATACTCAATGTTGCCAACTGTTTAAAATGCGCTAGATTGGAGAAAAATCTCATAAAACCACAGACCTACAATCATAAAACAGTTAAAAAAAACCTACCTCAAAGAAACCAAAATTTAAAATATTTATTTATAAAAGAACACTCTGTATATAACCAATCTGCCCAAATTCTGATGTTTTCTTTATTGTAGCTTGCATGGTATCAAAAAAGTTGGCAACCCTTTATTTTTAATCTTATAAAAAATCCCATTTTTCATGTTTATATTTTAACTGAAGGTCAAATGATAAACATTGGACCCAACTAAAAACCAAAACAAATATAATAAAAAAATGTATAACAAGTAAAAATACAATAGGAATTTATTTTACATGTAAAATTTACAATGATATATAACACCTAAAAATTTATAAAACGACGAAAACAAAAATATAAACGCAACAAAATTAATTAATAACAATTATATTTATGAATAATTTAATTAAGTATAATATATTTGTCATTTTGGATATACATCGCATGTATGTATTTAATATGAATTGGAATGAAAGTTACAAAACCAATAAATAGTGTAAAATGTAAAAAAATAAACTGAGGAAGACAAGTATTAGAATTACGCTACCATTCAGTACTAGTATTATTTATCTTTGTCATAGTTTTCACGATCCCTTAGTCTTTTAGAAAATACTTGAATTTTCATCACAAACACTCGCAAATTCGGAACATTAGTAGAACTTTTTAGCCTGACTTTCCCTGCTGTCCCTGAAATAAGAAAGTATTTGTCAACTCTTGCGTCAATAAATATAGTGACAGACAAAAGTATGTAACAAATTAGATTGAAATTGTGAGATCAGTAAAATGCACATTTATACTTTTGTATAATAGTTTCGGAGATATTAATTATTAAAAGTGGAAAATTATAGTTTAGTTATAGTTTTAGGAAGAAATAAAAATTTATTTAAAATGGCAACGTTGCAAATTAGGGTTTTGGTTGGTAAATAGTTGTCAAGTTGGTCGCATTGATTAAAACAAACTAAGCTAGTTATAAATCTAATTGTGGTTATGTATAAATTATTGTAGGTTACATTGTGCAGTTGTCAAGTTGAGTTGTCGAAATTCGTAGTTAAAAATGCAATTAATTTGGCTTTGGTGTACATTTATAACTTATAACTAGCTTAGTTTGTTTTAATCAATGCGACCAACTTGACAACTGTATTTACCAAATAAAACCCTAAATCTGCGGCAACGTTGCAAATTTAGGGTTTTCGTTGGTAAATATCTTAGAAGGTAAATATAGATAAGTACATTTAAAAACGAAAATTTTATATAGAATAAACATTTCGATTTGGACCATTTTTTAAGAAGTTGCGAGCGAAAAACAAACTAAAAAGCAGTTTTTTTGAAAGCCGTGAGCAAAAAAATCTCAAAATTTACAGAGAAAGCTCTTTCAAGGAGTACTAAAAAATAAAAAAATTGGAGGAATCCGATTTACTAAATGTTTTTACATTTACTTAATGTCATTTAGTGGCTAAATTTTAGTCAGTGAATAGTTTGATCAATACAGGTGTTACACTGTCGAGAAACTGTGATAAGCACAGTCACTTTACAAGGCAAAATTTACAATATTATATATCATTTTCAATTTCAAACTCAAGAAAAAAAAAGTTACTCAAACTGCCCTTAAATGGTTCAACGATCTCCCAGAACAAATTAGGATACAACAGAATCTAAAAAAAATTACTTCTTTGGCTCAAGAACACTATATATCAATAAAAAATAATATAAGATATAATTTATATTTGTTATTTATTAAAAAAATAAAACTAACTGCTACTAAAGTACCTGATATGGAATCCTGTATTCTTTTAAGGTTTAATAAATAAATATAAAAAAAAATGAATTGGAGGAAAATAAAAAAAAAAAATTTTTCAAGTCGCATAGCTCCTACAAAAATTTAGGGGAATAAAAGGCACATTTTTCAATGAATTTGTTCCTTACTTTCGGTCACTGTAAACTAAAAAACTAACCTGTAAAAGCTGTAGCCCAGGAAGATGACGAGTTGGGCGGCTACCAGCATCAGCATAGCAGTGAAAGAAATGCAGGAAGGCGCCGGGCATGCGCCTCCCTGCTGCTGCTGCTCCATCTTGTGGGTGATTTGAGCGGTGCCCTGCTTAACTTGGTTCAAACCGTCGCGTAGCTCGCTTATTAAGGCCTGCGTGTCGTAGCCCATCGCTTGCACCTGCGCGGTAGGGGCTTTAGCTTGGTTCGACAAAATGGCGTCCGCGCGAGTCTTCAGCTCCAAGATGAACTGCCTGATCTCCCTCGCGGTGCTGAGTATTTGGTTTTGGTTGTTGAACACCGCGTCCACTTCATGCCTTCTTATTGTGTCGGAGGCGATTGGTGGGGTTTGACCTTGCGGTGGGGGTGGGGCACCGCCCCCTTGGGGAACTACAGCCCCGGAGCCTTGAGTTATCAAGCTCATAGTGCGCTCCTGTCTACCAACAACTTCGTCTAATTTTTTACTTAACTCTTTAATAATCTCGTATATTTGATTCTGCCCCTGAAAAATTTGCCTGAGCTCGCGTTGGTTATCCGACTCGAACCAATCTTCCATCTCTGGTTCTTTTTCATCGGGGTGATCCTTGCGGTACTCCGCCTTTTGCTGGTCGAGCTTTTTCTGGTACTCCTGGTACTCTTGCTGCAACTTCTGTTGTTGCTCGTCGCCGGCAGCCGTTTGGCCGGTTTTGATCTGCCCGGGCTTGTGTAAACTCCACGCTAAAAAGTGGTTAACATCGTGGTCGTCGGCCAGGCCGCCGGTGGCCGCCGAAATACCGAAGTGGCCGCCTTTAGGCAGCACAACGTTTTCCGCGCGAAGGCACATCTCGTAGTCCTGGTCGCTGTTGGTCATGCCGTTGTGGAAGAGGACGGTGAGGGTGTTTTCGTAGTACTCTATGCGCGCGCGCGTCGGGAACGGCTTGTTGCGGAAGTCGCGCAGACAGCCGGCCAACTGCTGAGTGGTTCCGTCTCTGAAACGCGAAGTAACCTTTAACCTTTCAAATTTTAGACTGGACATGAAAGTTCCATTTAATAACTGTAATTTTACCAGGGCTCCCACGGCTAAATTACTAATTTTAATTATGAATTTAGGAGGTTGTTTGGAGAATTTTAGGAGAAATAAAGTTTAGTAAATTTAAAAGGAAACGACGTACACGCCATCAATCAGCTAAAATCATTGCATCAAGGGAAAGTGGTAGTGGAACTACAGGGCGAAAGATGGCGTTTACATGAATAATACCATAGATCCCTAGATTTGGGACCTTAGAATACCAAAATGTCAAGAGTCAGAGTTTTATAACCTATATGATGCACCGCCAAAAGTATGTTTTTGGCCATTTTTAAAGACATTTTCAACTATAAAACCCAGAAATTTTGCCATCTTTAGTCAGTCTCTGGTATATATATTCTTATTTTATGTATCCAACATATATTCTGTTAAATGTTCTAATATATAATTAATAATAATCCTATTTACCTCTCTAACAGCTGTTAAAGGTAACAAAGGTCCATTATTATCCCGTTCTGCCTCAAAATAGCGTATTAAGGATGATACCAACTCTTGACTCCGACTATTTAATTGCTTCGGCATTTTAAATACAGGAAAAACAAAAAAATGATATATAACAAACACAAAAACGGCAATAAAAACTTAAACGATATAAAATAACACAAAGTAATAATAGTTATTTATGTATTAAGGGCATAATAAGGTTTTTATGGTCCGAGGCGCTATTTCAAGCCCGAGCGCGTTAGCGCGAGGGCTAGAAAAGCGTCGTAGGACCATAAAAACCAGTTATGCCAGCAATGCATACAAAACTTTATGCACGATTAATATATTATTATTTTTAATATATTATTGTTTTTAAAGACGTTTACGTCAAAAAATTTTTGTTATAATTTTCATATTATAATGTCAACTGACATCAGTCAGTTTTAAAGTTTAAAGATGAATGAAATTGAGGAAGCAGCTGAAAAGGCGAAAAATTGCGGCCTGCTGCCGAAAAAATCAAAATCTTTATACGAAAAAACTTACTTTGAATATATCAAATGGTGTAACATTGTTGTTTTTAATTTTTGACGTTTCATTATAGCCCGCTGGGTCATAATAACGCCCGCGGGCTATAAAAAGACGTTTACGTCAAAGAATTTTTGTTATAATTGTCATATTATAATGTCATCGTGCATAAACGAAATTATACACGAATTAAACGAAATATTCAGCTTCAAAATTCTAAAACGTCAATTTTTTTTTATGCGTCATTTTATTAAGCAAAGTTTTAATCTAAACATGACAACATTGCAATTGCTGCCAACTAAAGTTTTTAAAATGCATTAAAATATTCAATTACAGACTTCGTTTTATACATTTAGTATTGGTACCAGTGCGCAAAATTATGACGTCATCGATGACGTGTACGTCGTTTCCTTTTAAATTTACTATATATAACACAGTATATTCTTGTCGAAAACAAACGAAATATGGCTAAAAATGACAATTTTGTAGAAGTTTAGGAGCTACTACATACATGTATTTTGTTTTTTAGGTATATTTTCTTGTTTTTTTAAGAAAAATGTAGGTTATGATATATCATTTTAAAAATATTTTAATTAACCAGAACCTAAAAGTATATATTTATAAATTACTTTTTTAAAAAGATTTTTTTTAGCACAACTACCATAATTAAATGCATTCAGGTTGGCCTATTTATATTTAATTTTTGGAAGATTGATGGCAATTTTAGGAGAATTTGAGGAGTTTTTAAAATTTAAGCCAAATTTTAGGAATGTTATGAGTTTTAGGTGTAGGAGCCCTGTTTTACATGTATCTATACCTCACAAAAACTTTTATAGGGAATTTTTTTTAAGTAAATAAAAAATATGCTGTTAAAGGCCGTATTTTTGTTAGTATACCCTGTACATTTTGTACAAATCAAACAAACAGTAATGAAGATACAGCGATTCAGTCGTCAAAAATGACCACTTGTCAGCAAAATAATCAAAAAGGTGTATATTTTTTGTTTACTTAAAAAAAATCCCTAAAAGTTATTTTTTGAACGTTTTTTTATTATTAAATAAAAGGGCTTTAGAAATATTTTCTCGAAAAACTCTTGAACATGTAAACTGAAATATGAGTTGAAGTATTCTTATACAAAATTTCATAAAGATTGGTAAAGGCGTTTTAGAGTTTAATTTTTTTACTTATTATGCGTTAATTTTGACGCGCAGTGTAGAATAGAGAATCAAATTTCTGAAGAAAAAAAACTATTTGTTTCCTAAAAAAAATGTTTTTTTCAGTAACACCAACAAAAGCCAGAATAATTTTTGCCGTTGAACTATTGCAAACATAAATTAACTGGAACAACTGTAGGTTTTTTTACGAAAAAAAAAACGGAAAAATTGGGAAATTTTCAGAAAGATTGACTTTTGCATTTTTTTCATTTTATTTAAAGGGTAATACGAAAAAAATTAATTAATTAAGTTCAATTTTTCTGAAAATTTCCAAATATCTAAAAAAATTGAATTTTCGACTCAGATATAATCAAATAATACATGATTATAATAATTATTCCTATTATTATAATTCAGTAAAAATCTTTTACCAGGTTGCAAAAAAACATATTAATAACATTATAATTTTGTTGTTTAACTTTATAAATCATTCATTATTTTGTAAATGGATATTTTCAATGTATTCCCATTTTACAAAAACAGTATATTTAACGTTTACGTTTATTTTTTTAAATCAATTCATTTCAATGTTTTTTTATGTAATAAGTGTACTATCCTTAAGGATATATTTTTTTAAATTAAAATAATGTTAAGTTACTGATTTCTTTGTATATTTTCAGAAAAAAATCAATTTTTACCAAAAAAGTATATTCTGTCAATAATTAACATTGATATTGCATAATTTTACATAGATATTGTGGAATTATTATCATTAATATTGAAAATTAAAACAAAAATAAAAAACCTGTCCTGTTTTTAGTTTTTTGTGAATATTTTGAGAACTTGTGTATCAAAGTGAAGTGTTAAATATCTGTTTTGCGGTTTTGTTAAAATACAATGGTGGTTTGTTCTGCGTTATATATCTTATAATGACGAGAATAAAGATCCAAAAATAACCTTTAACAGCAAAATATCTTTATTATTAATGAAAATTTGCTTATACAATTCTTTTTAAGGTTATATTATATTATTACTAATAAATCTATTTATTTTAATCAAAATCTGTTAATAGAAAACTTAAAAAGTATATTTATTATTTACTGTACTATACAGGGTGTTTCTTTTAACTTGAGACAGCTCAATATCTCGAGAAATACGCATTTCACGGAAAAATGTCTTAAATAAAAGGTTAATGTGACTAAAGGGGACATAATTTGGTGCTACCGCTAGCCACCCCCTACCCCTCCTTAAGGGTGAAACTGGGGGTAACTTGGGAAAGTTAAATGGAATGACCCGATTTTTTTCACAGAGTTTGGTAGTACATAAAAAAATAAATAACTTTTATTTAAAACTTTTTTCAATTTATCAACAGATGGAGCTGTAATTCAAAATTTAAGAAAAATGAGTTTCCTTGTAAAATGTATTATTTGAAACGTTTGAAAAACAAAAATGAACATTAACAACAATAGTCGGCTATGAAAAGAATTTATAACAAATGTTCGAAATGTCGTCATTCCATTTCAACACATTTTTGAATGCGGGTAATGAATTCTGGCACACAACGCGCCAACATATCGGGCGGTATCGCCGCACAGGCGTTCCTGATCTGCTCCACCATGTCCTCCCAAGTTGTAGGAATTGCAGCGTAAACTTTTTCTTTCAAGTAACCCCACTGGAAGAAGTCTGGTGGCGTAAGATCAGGTGATCGAGCAGGCCAAATTACTGGACCACGTCTACCGATCCACCGCGGTGCACCGGCCATTGAACTCCCGATCCAACACCTCTCGAGCAATTGTCGAATAATGTGCAGGACAACCATCTTGCTGGTACCACATGTTTTGGAGCCGTGCTAGTGGTACATCCTCCAAAAGGTCCGTCAGATCGTTTTCTAGAAAATTCCGGTACTTTTCGCCATTTAATGCACCGTCAATAAAGAAGGGTCCGATTAATCGTTCGCTTAAGGTACCGCACCAAACGTTTACCGACCAGGGACGCTGGTGCTCCACTTGGTGTCGAAATGGAAGGACGACATTTCGAACATTTGTTATAAATTGTTTTCAGAGCCGACTATTGTTGATTTAATGTTAATTTTTGTTTTTCAAACGTTTCAAATAATACATTTTACAAGGAAACCCCTTTTTCTTAAATTTTGAATTACAGCGCCATCTGTTAATAAATTGAAAAAAACTTTCAAATAAAAGTTATTCATTTTTTTATGTACTACCAAACTCTGTGAAAAAAATCGGGTCATTCTATTTGACTTTCCAAATTTACCCCCCGTTTCACCCTTAAGGAGGGGTAGGGGGTGGCTAGCGGTAGCACCAAATAATGGCCCCTTTGGTCACATTAACCTTTTCTTTAAGACATTTTTCCGTGAAATGAGTATTTCTCGAGATATTGAGCTGTCTCAAGTTAAAAGAAACACCCTGTATATATATAAATAGAGATGCGACTTGAAAAAAAACGGTCCGTTTTTTTTGTTTTTTTTCAGGTTTTTTTTCATTGTTTTTTTTCAAATGGTTTTTTTTCACATTTTAGGTTTTTTTAAAGATTAGTCCCATTTGCCTATTTTTTTAGGTTTCATTGAATAAAATTAGCCACTAAATGACAATTAGTAAATCTAAATACAGTCTCGCGCTATGCACGCGCCACCACCACCGAAGGGCCGCGCTTGTTTTATTTGGTCCTAAAAAAAGTAACAACATATAATATTTTTGATTCAGCGCTTGATTTTTCAAAAAGCTACCAAAAGCACTTTTTTCATGATTTTTTTAAATTCATGTATACAAAAATTCCATACCCTATAGGGTATGGATTTTTTTTTTCAAAAAAACAATAGCAAATTTTTGTAGAACATTTATTCATTGGTGGTTAAGTCAGAACATTCCGTGGACCAGAAAGCCAAAAAAAAATCGATTTTTTTATTACGGTATTCGTTAGGATTAAGCATTGCACATTTTTCATCTAAAAATCTCAAAACTAGAAACTTCAAGCTTCAAATTGCTTTTTTTTACGGCTCCAATACGACTATTTTTAACAAAGATACAGCTATCCGAAGAATCGCAAAACAATTTTTTTTATCCTTTAATTTTTTGTATTAGTGTAAAAGTTTTACATTGCTATAGCAAACCAGTATACTGGTTTCTCATGTGGAAACTACCAAATAATAGTCTCGGTCAAAATTTTCAATAATGAAAAATTTAATATATTTTACATTTCACTTTATTATTAATATATAATATTTTACTCAAAATTTCATTTTGAAAAAAAACAAAAAAAACCGGTTTTTTTTCTAGGTTTTTTTTCATGTTTTTTTTCACATCTGAAAAAAAACCGTTTTTTTTACATCTCTATATATAAATAATCAAAATTTTACTTATCATGTCATTTTTAAGTGGCCCATTGAAATATAAATAATATTAAAGTACTCACTGTGCATGATCGAATTCCTTGGTTCCATCATTGACAACGGCCATTATGTAAGGATTGTTGTGTTTGTTATCATTATCGAAAGAGTCGAAGAAAAGTCCAAGACCAACCCATTGGTCGGACGAACCAAACACATTCCCATCGTAGGCGCCCTTATTTTGGGTGTACCAAAACGCCTACAATTTTTCATGAATAAAAAGTTACAGCGGTTAAATGGGGGTACATACCAAACCGTCGGCTCCGATACGGCCTCTGCCTGTTACCCGAAAAGAAATATCTACATCCCAGTTGTCAAAATTAATTGGGTTTTTTGTCCATATGGCACCTTTTTGACTTCTCAAAGAGGGCGCTATCCTCACATTTTCCGCACTGGCTATCGCGTCTACAATTTTATTGGTTAATTATCCAACCGGTTTATTAATTTCTAATTGATTAACTGCATAAATTAGTTTGTAAACATCTTTATTTTTTTTGGTTATATACGTGTCAAAAATTGACGTTTATACCAAACAAATGAAAACATTCAAACACAAAACAAAATAAAAAAGATGCAAATGTACTTATTAAAGTATATTTCCACTTAAATAACTTAATATATAAAAACTTACTGCCTCCATACTCCCAGAAAGGCACAGACCCGTCTTTTTGAGCCAAGTAGGGCGGTTTGAATGAATACTTGTACTCAAATTTCCTATGCACTAAATTAGCTTCTATAAAAACGAGTCCAATAATTAATAATAACACATGGGTCCTACAAAACACGAATCCCCCCATTTTAACACCGTTCGAATGCCGTCTATGACAGTCCGTCCATTGACGGAACACGTCGTTGATAATTAGCAGGTCTACCAACACAAAACGAACGGCAAATTGCAACGTTGCCACATGTAAGCAAAGTGTTATTTGTTGCCTTTATGTTGGCTTACCTTTGTTGGGAATTCCCGTTTTACAAATTAAATCATATATAAAGCTTGTGCTTCCTTGATGACTGCATTTATTGAGATAAAATGGGAATGAGAGTTTTGTTTTCGATTTTGTGTTCATTTACACTTTTTAGCGGTGTTTATTTATTGCTGATTAACAAAAATGGAGGAATTGAGTAAGTTATTACACTTTTTTTAATTAAATTATGTTAATTTTTTTTTATTTTAGCATACCTTTAAAAAGACAAAAAACGCCTAGAGAAGAATTTTTAAATGCACCAGATTTAACAAAGTATGGCAAGGAGTTCGTCGATTTAACTAAAAAACACCACCACAAAGGAAATCGAACCAATGATTCCATTGCACTGTATAGATATTTGGATGTAAGTTATATGAATATATTTTATTTTATTTTTATAGGAATTTTCCTTAAAACGGTAAATATTATTATTATTCAAATGGCGCTTTAGTCACGGGCTGAAGTATATTGTTTGGGGTGACAAAAAAAAATTATGATGAAAGTTTGAGTCCATAATATTAATTTGTCTCAGAACTCCAAAACCATTGAGTTTAACAAAATTGACTTAAGAATATTTTTTGAAGAAAATTGAATGCTCTTCAAAAAAGGTTTGATTGGAATATCCCGTCAGATGAACCGTTTTCTTACAATCAAGCCTTAAAAATTGGTATTGTTTTACAATTTGATCTTTTAACTTTGGAATTTTGTAATTCATGTAATAATCAGTACCCAGAAAAAAACCGATAGATATTCTTGTGGGAAATCAAATGCTCTACAAAAAAAGTCTTTTAACATTTTTGGTTAAATTCACTCTATCAAAAGTTATTCAAGGTTAAATTTGAAGTCAAAACGAAATTCTTGTTTTTTCCGCTCTAGATTTTTTTATCGATGATAATCTTTATGTTATTGATAAAATTACAATCATGTTGTTTTTTTTGTTGGAAATTGTTAATTAGATATATAATACACATTTATAAAAAAAATCAAATTATCATCCATAAAAAAAAAATAAAACGTAAAACTATATCAACCTTTAAGGCATGATTTTAAGGAAACGGTTGATCTAAAGGAAAATTTCATTTAACCTTTTTTGTAGAGCATTTAATTTTCTTAAAAAAACATTTCTGAGTCAATTTTGTCAACACAGCAAACGGAAAATTATAGAGGTGTATAGGATGACGCCACGTTTGAATATCGATTTCTAAATCTCCCTACGGTATAGAGTTGTATTCGTCAGTCGAGCGTTTCAATACTCTCCACAGTATAGAGGTCGTAATTTCACTTTTAAACTAGTATTAATATAAAAATTATTTTATGCTTAAAAAAAACTATATACGAGATGATTGTGATTTTTTTCATTTTATTAATTAATTAAGCTGTGTTGAATATTTTTCCTAAAGGAATAATTGCCAATGGGCCATTAATTCATTTGTTCGTAGATGCTACAATAACCTGCATGTACTTTTCATCAACCAGATTTAAATATTACAAAATTAACATATATATACCAGTGGAGATAGTGCAGGGTCTACCAACAGACCTAATTACTAAATTATTAAAGTTTAATAGCATATCCATCATTTTTCAACATAACCTCTTAAATTTTTAATACAAATATAGGTACTTTATATAATACATAAATATACTTAACATCATATCCTCTGTGCTTTACATACCTGAGTTGTTACGGTAAATAAAAATCAGACAAAGGAACCAAAGAAAGGAACTATTTTCAACTAAATCATATGGAGAAATGAGAAAATTCATCCATCAAAAGATCAAAACTTCTTGCAATATTACACCCTCTTTTTATACTCTCAGAAATATTGACTAGAACAGTATTAGAGAGACTCCAGTTTCTATAACTTGGTAGAGTAAAGAGAAGTCGAAACCGTTGCGATATTGCATTGCGCTGTTTTTGTATAATTCTCGGGGACATTAACGAAAATCATTGCCAGTAAAATTCGAAAAGCTTGAGTTTCTATGTCTCTGAGGAGAATAGGAATCCGAAGATGCTGCACCATTGGACTGAACCCTTTTTTAATAATTTCTAGAGACATATATGACTGCACCATTCGACAGGGTCGAGTTTCTACTCCTCTGTTGAATATAGAAAATCAAAATAATGTATCTTGTAAGACACCATTGAGTTTGACTTTAAATATAGTCGTGCATAGGTATAGAGCCGAAAAATATAAAAACAAAGCACAATTCAATACAGTTATGATAAAACTTTAAGATTTGATATTCAAACGCGGAGTCATCCTATACACTTCTATAATTTTTCGTTTGCTGTGAAAGTCAATGGTTTGGGAGTTCTGAGACAAAAACTGAGGAAAAAAAATAGTTGATTTTTTTAGGCAGAATGACCTTGGTAAAGAGGTTTTTAGAAAAAATTGATAAACATTTAATATTTTTAATTTTATAAAAATACTTTGTCTTTATAAACTGCTATTTTGTGGTTTTGTTGATAAGAAGTTATATTTATGTAGTTGTTTATTACTTTGTGAGTAATTTAGAGATTACAACTGAGATGATTTGGGAAATGACTCAAATTTAAAATCAATATTTTTAGCAAAAGTATGTTTGTTTTGATTATGATGATTTATCTTTGATGAATCCTAAAGAAAAATAACTTATTTGGCAATATTTAATAATAATTTCTCTACTTTTAAGAATGAGTTTTTTGGAGAAATAATTATAGGACATCCAGGTCAAAAATTCAAGGTTAATTTTGACACTGCTTGGAATTTAGCATGGGTTATATCATCGAAATGTAACTACTGGGAAACGCCAGGTTGTTGTAAGTTTAAAATTCAAAAATAAACGTTTTTAGTAACAAAACAAAATGAGCAAAATGCAAGGTATATTTTTATAACGAAAATTTTAGGGCTGCACAACAAATATGACCATACAAAATCATCTGAATACAAACCAGATGGCAGGCCTTATTCAGTACAAGATGGCTCGTTTAAATTAAGTGGTTTCTATGCTTATGACAATATAAGTGTAAGTATAAAATACTTCTTTAGTACAGTTCATTTTTTTTATCTGGACTCGTGTTTTTTTGTTAGGTTGGTGGCTTATGCTAGTTTGACTTAGTATTTTTAGTATTTAAAAATGGTACTTCTGCTAAAGAATTTAATAAAATACTTTGACACTGTCAAATTGACAATAATATTTATTATTGATAATTTACTTGTCAATTATAAATAAAAAGATAATTATGCCAAAAATAATAGCAACGAATTCGAATGTAAAAGCCCTTTTGAGGGCAAAACTTCATTTTGATGAAATTATGCCAAATGCCACAATGGAAGAAAAAGTACATCGCCTTATGGACATTTTTGGAGTAAAAAAGTAACGAATTTGGTTTTATAAATATTACATCACCCATTATTTTCACATTATTCACCATTGGACAACATTTACGTTCACAAAAAATTTTAATTTCTTTTATATAAATTCTTTTCAAAGCGAAGATTATTATCTGCTAGGAATACTTTCTCTTCTAGGCCGTAAAGCAACCTATATTTAACTACTTTTTAAAATGATTTTACTCATCCATTTTTAACTACGAATTTCGACAACTCAACTTGACATGTACAATGTAACCTAACATAATTTATACATAACCACAATTAGATTTATAACTAGTTTGTTTTAATCAATGCGACCAACTTGACAACTGTATTTACCAACCGAAACCCTAAATTTGCAACGTTGCCGCTGTCCAGATAAAAAAAATGAACTTTAGTTACATAATTGTTATAATTTTTAGATTGCTCATTCTAACGTTACAAAGCAATCGTTCGTGGAAATGGTGCAAGTCCCACCAAGTTGGTTTCTCAACAAAGCAGATGGTATTTTGGGTTTGGGTGTGAAAAATGACGATTACGATCCATTTTTCTACACTCTCTTAAAACAAAAAAAAATTAAAAATCCTATATTTTCAATCTATATTAATAGGTTTGTATATGATCAGTAAGCAATGATAAATTAAGTATAATGAGTTTTTATTAGCAATAGAGATTCGAAACGTGGTGGAAACATCATTCTAGGCTACATTGAACATCGTCATATACATAAGAACAAAGATAAAGTTCCTGACCCCATTAAGTACCTGCCAGTTGATGCTGGTCAGTACTGGCAATTTACAGTTGATAAGTAAGTCTTATACGAGGTGTGTTAAGAAAATAACGGGAATTGTTAAATTTCGCGGGTTCGGAGGGTCCGGTTGTCATAAAATTTTCTTTATTATGTTGGTATACATGCCCCCGAAGTATGATAAAAACTTTAGCTGTTTCATTGTTTACTTTGTCTGTGGCAGCCGCTAAGGTTAGACGTGTTTTATGAGCTCGGCGATTTTTCGTTCGTTAAAAGAAATGGATCAAAGAATTTGTATCCAATTTTGCTTAAAAAATGAAATAAATTCTGTGAAATGTTAACAAAAGCCTATAGTGAGTCTGCTATTAGCAAAACAAGAGTTTACAAGTGGTATAAGAGTTTCCAAGATGGCCGTGAAGACGTTGAAGATGACGAACGCCCCGAACGCACAAGCACATTAACAACCGATAAAAACATGGAAAAAGTGGAAGAAATGGTTATAAACCATCAGAGAAGTCGCTGATGATGTTGGTATATCGATTGGCTCATCCCATGAAATTTTTTCGAATGTTTTGGGTATGAAACGCGTGGCAGCAAAATTTGTTTCAAAATTGTTAAATTTTGAACAAAATTTTTGGCCAAAAACTACTGTAATGATGCCCCAGCCTTCATATTCGCCAGACATACCTCCGTCTGACTTTTCCTATTCCCAAAAATAAAGAGAACCTTAAAGGGCCGTCGTTTTGCAAGCATAGATGACATTAAAAGCGCATCGCTGAAATAACTAAAGGCTCTCCCAAAGATCGAGTTTTAGAAGTGTTTCGAGTATTGGAAGAAGAGCTGGCACATGTGCATAATATCCAATGGGGACTATTTTGAAGGCGACAACATTAATGTGGACGAATAAATAAATGTTTGTTTCAAAAAACGAAAATTCCCGATATTTTCTGAACACACCTCGTATCTGTTAACTTAAACCAATTTTGTTAAGACTGACAGTCCACATCCGAAGATGGAAGCACCTTTGAAACTTATTTGTATTATTTATTTAGGATTTATTTGGAACAAGTTATCCCACCTTCCAAGGAGAATGCTATCTTTTGCAATAATACTTGCAAAGCTATTGTTGATACTAGCTCTAACGCTATAGTAGGTCCTAAGAAAGATATAGAAAAAATTAATGATATCCTTAAAGCTAAAGCTTTTTTTAACTCCAACAGATATACAGTAAGTTGTATTTTTTCGAGTTGTACCATTTGTGATTTTTATAATTAATTTTTTAAGGTTGATTGTAATACAATTAAAGTTCTACCAAGGATAGCTATTGTTTTGGGTGGTCAGAACTTTAATTTGTCAGGGCCAGATTATATTACAAAGGTATGTAAATGTCTACTTTTTAATATTATAAATTTTATAGACTAAAAGAATAAAATTTAAAACTGAATTTTATTAGGTATATTGAGAATACAGCTGTATCAAAAGCACTTTATATAGGTCAATTTAATTCAACATCAAAGCGGCCTAACCTCACTTTTTTAGAATCTCATTTATTTATTAGCTAAAGATTACATTAAATGTACATTATTATTGCTTTTAGAAGCAGTAATAGTTTGACAATACCTAGCAACATGGTTTAAGTAGAAATGCATTTTTGCCATTACATTGAATTCAATTAATTGATTAATAAATAGGTAGGCATCTAACTTCAGTTTGTTTGGATTTTTATTTAAAAAATAGGTAGTTTGGAATGTTTTAGCTGTGTTTAACATTTAATTTCACTGAAAACTTAAAGCAAACTAAAACTTAAAGATAATTTAAATCGTAGAAAAAGAATCGTGCGTTTTCTTGGTTGCCTAACCTCACTTTTTGTTTTATTATTCATATTTAATTTTACAAAAATTTAATGAAAAATATTAAACATTTACAGTAAAACAAACAAATTAGTGCTTATTATAAATAAATTAAACCAGTTTAGTACGTTAATTTCTTAGAAAAGGATTAATTTGTCAAAAGCGAGAAAAAATCGAACTAATTACTTGCCTCATAAAAATTTTTATCGGCCTAGGCCATAACAAGGTATTTCTTTATCGAATGTTGACAACAATAAAGTTTAAATTATAGACCGCGTGGAGATAAAGAATATTATACAATGGTATGAAAATAATTGCTTAATTTTAATGTATTTTTTTTTCAGATGCCTGTTGGACCAGCCACATATTGCATGTCTGCCTTTCAACCTAGTGAAACGGTAACTGAAGAAACCATGTGGGTTATTGGTGGTGCATTTTTAAGTAAATATTATAGTATATATAATATTGCAGAAAGAACTATCGGTTTTGTTAGAGCGGCCTCTGCTTGATATAACAAATAATTACATTCAATATGTTTTTAATTTTTGCTTATTTCGAATATTTTTGTTGATTTTAAAGCTTGTGCCATATTAATTAGATTCGATGGTCTTTAATAAATGTTTTATAAAAAATTGTTTTTGACTTACCTTTCTTTTATTTTAGGCTTCTTTTATATTGTCAATTAAGGATGAATAAAGGGTTTATTAAGAAAAAACAGTGGTTAATAAAAAATATTTATTCAAAATAAAAATATGTAGTAAACAACAATTTACTTTTAATTACATAGTAATTTAAATAAAAAAATATATAATATCTTTGTTAAAATATTTTTCCAATGTTATTAATAAATATTCCTAATTATTACAATTGAGTCGTATAGATTCAAAACCCGCCAAATCCATTTATTGAAAGTAAAGGACAGTAGATATGTTTGCAATACATATTAATTATGTTGTTATGGAAACATGTCTTCTGTCCTTTACTTTCAATAAATGGATTTGGCGGGTTTTGAATCTATACGACTCAATTTAACACATCAAAATATTTGTTAACAATACATGTGTTAACCCATTAATGGCCGACATCATGAAGAGGGGGTGGAGGGGTCTTTCTAATGATGAAAAAGCTAGATTTCGGAAAAAAATATTAATTACATAATATGTGGAAATGAGACAAAAACAAAAGGAAAAATTCGCAAAAATTAAAATATTGTAGGAAATATTCTCACAGTAGTATTAAAATAAGAAATTGAAAAACAAATTTTTAAAATTTCCAATTAAACTTGTTAAAATACAGCTATATAATTATATTCATAATAATTAATTTATATTTTTTTGTGCCTCCTTCCTCCACATATTCAATTGTTTAATAATGTAAATACAATATTTAGTACTGTATTTTGACTTTCATATTTTTTTTAAATTAAAATTTGGTATTAGTACTTACTACTAATTTAGTGGGAAAAAACATATACATTACCAATTTAAAAATTCAATTAATCAGTCCTTCCTCATTATTTGTTATTTAACAATAAATTTAATATTTCAAGGTTTTGTTTAAACAAATATTTTTGTCTATAGTTTTAACGTACCTAATGATTAATTATTTTTTGTGCCTCCTTCCTCCACATTATTCAATTATTTTTTTTTTTAATTTTTCGTTTATACCTAGTTATTTTTAAATTAGTAAATTTTTAAAATGAAATAAATTGTTATTTTGGATTAAGTAATTTTCTGTATTTTTTTAATATTTCTCTTAAACACTTTTTTATTTTGGGCCTCCTTCCTCCACAAATTTTTTATGTTTTTAATAATTTTAACTTTGATAGTTAAAAAAAAAATAAGCATATTTGTTAATTTAAAAAAATTAGTATTTATAATTATTTATTTAAATATTATTAATTTTTGTTTTAAAACAGTATAATAATAATAATAATTTAATTTTTTACATACTATATTAAAATATACATTTGTTATTAATCTTTCGATTTTATTATTAATTTTGGTTAATTGGTTATTTTGTTTTAATACAAACCATACACTAGTTAATAAACTTTTACCAAATATTTCTTGAAGATAATTATTTTTTTTATACTTTTCTTATACACTTTTTACAATAACACTTCAAAATTAACACAATTATAAAAATAAATTGCTATATTTTTATTTTTGGCCTCCTTCCTCCACATAATTTTACAGTTAAAAAATGATCTTTGTTGATTTAAAAAAATATGTACTTACAGATGTATTATTATTTCTTTAAATATTATTAATTTTTCTTTTAAAACAGTACCCAATAAAGAACTGAAACTAGTACTATCATATTATTTTTTATATACATACATATATTTAAAAAAATTTATATCACGTTTTATATGATAATTAAAAAAGTTTAAATTTTCTTATCTTTAAAATATTAACCCAAATCTTTTTTTTCCACATCATTTAAATTATTTGTACATTTAATGTTTTAAATTAAAATAAACCTTGGTTTAAAAAATATTATTTTTTATTAATCTTTCGGTTTTATTATTAATTTTTAATTGGTTATTTTGTTTTAATAAAAATTATACACCAATAAACTTTTTCCGGATATTTCTTGATAATTATTTTCTTTGTTATATTTTTCTTATACACTTTTTTACGATAACACTTTAAAGTTCAAAAATAACACAACTATAAAAATAAATTGCTATATTTTTATTTTTGGCCTCCTTCCTCCACAAAATTTTAATGTTTTTAATAATTTTAACTCTTATTGTTAAATTTTCTTTGTTGATTGAATTAAATATGTATTTATTATTATTAATTAAATTTTATTAATATTGTAGTATTTTTGTTTACTTTTTAAATACATACTTTTATAATTTTATATCCTTAAAAATTTATTTCGAACATATTTTAATTTTATATCTCGTTTTACCCTATATTATAATTAAAACAGTTTAAATTTTCATTTCTTAAAAATATTAACCCAAATCACACAATAATCACATAATTAAAATTATTTGTACCATTTGTAATTTTCTATATTTTACACCTTTGTTAAAAAATTATTATTTTTTATTATTCTTTCGGTTATAAACCATTTTAAATTTTTAATTGGTTATACCAATAAACTTTTTCCAAGTATTTCTTGAAGATAATTATTAGGATAATATTATAGGTAATACCTATTAGGTATATACCATGTATTTTTTATCTTTCTGCTCCCTCTTCAATTCCGTGCTAAATGATGAAGTGTAGACTCTTTAATAAGTATAATAATAGAAATTATATTAATCGAGATTCTTTTGTAATTATAGCAAATTATTGCCCTGCTTTTTCTATGCATTGTTTTTATAGTTTATAGCTTAACCTAGAATATCAAAAAACATGTTTAAACACAGAACACAGTTCTGTGTGTTTAACCGTACTTATTATATACCTTAATGTTTATAATCCTTTTTTTATTTTTTGGAAACCATGATCTTTTGAAACACATTAATAATAATAATAATAATCTTTATTAGCAGATAACTTAAATTAAATACAGCTTCGTCAATAAAGCTAGGGAAGTAAAATACTAATTAAATAGTAAAAAGAATAAGTGTAAAAATAGTTACATCACAGTTAAAGTATAATTTACATTTACATCATTTTACATCATTTACATCACAATTTAAGTATACATCACAGTATAGGTAAATAATTTAAAAATCATCACATCATTAAAGGAAAATTTAACGGTAATTTTTACGTCAGAATTTTTACTTAATGGTAAATGTTACTCGTAAGTCATAATTTTACTCCTTTATAACCGTAAATAATTTCTAGTCGCCTGGTATCTTTTAGGGATGTTAGTGGTAATATACTATTAATATTGACTAAACAAGGAAAATAAAACTGAGGGAATTTTTTTCCCGGTCGCCATAATGAGTTTTTTAAGATGGCATCCATTACTGTCTTATCTAAACATTTATATAATATGTTTTCATAAATATTTTTCTAAAATATAATAAGGAAAGTTTTAGTCATTAAAAAATGATTAAAACTAAATGATGATTTTTATAAAATTTTGTAGGTTTTAAGTTTTGTTGATTTTTAACCCAAGCAATAATTTTTCTTAAAACCGTAAAATATTTAGAGGGCATATAATTTTTAAGATGATTGTGACTATTTTTGTCAATAAAATAATGTGCGTTTGAGTTTTAATGCAAAATATTATTAGTTTTGACAATTTAAGTTATATTTTTTAATTTTACTCTAGGGTGGCCTTTATTACTTTGTTTGTAAATTATAAATTAAAAGAATAAAGAAATTACGAATGTCAATGTTTTAGAAAGAGAGAGCAAACAGTTAGTAATTAAAGCCTTATTTTTAAGCAAATTTCTGTTATTTATATTGTTTTTGTAAACAATTAATTTAGTTTTATTTTTTGTGCCTCCTTCCTCCACATTTTTAATTGTTTATTTAATGTAAATATTATTTAGTTCTGTAGGTATTTTAACTTTCATAGGTTTTTTAATTAAAATTGGTAGGTACTTTAATTAAGTGGAAAGAAACATATACATTACCAATTCAAAAATTTAGTTAATCAGTTCTTCCTCATAGTTTGTTATTTAATAATAATTTTAAAGTTAAATTTATTACTTCAACGTCAAGTTTTTTTAAAGAAATATCTTTGTCTATAATTTTAACGTGATGATTAATTTTTTTTATATTTTTTGTGCCTCCTTCCTCCACATTTTTCAATTAGGTAATTTAATAAAATTTTAATTTTAGCTTATACAGGGTGTTTCACATTTGTTATCAAATTTGTTGACTGATAAAAAATAAACCCTTTTTATTACTAAATGTTTAATTTACATTAAGCATTTTTTAATTCTTACTTCTACATGAGACGTTGCTCTTATTGACTAAAATATACATAGTTGGTTTATTAAATTTTTACAGCAACGCATTTTTTTGTTATTAAAATATTTCATAAAATAAATTTTATATTTTATTGTCTCTAATTAGCTAGTGCTTCATCTATAGTTGACATCCTACAGCTTAGTCGATTTTTTTTTCAAAATTAGCAAATACTGTTTACTTTTAAATTTTAAAAATGTTTGACTTGTCTATTTTTTTTAAGTCACTGACTGCTATTTTTCATCATTAATGTTTTTTACAAAATACTTAGTTATTCAACAGAAATATAACTCGAAAACTATCCACTTTATACCTATAGGTATAAGACATGGTACAGTAATTTTACTTCGAATTTTATGAAAAATTTAAAAATGTAAAAATATATGGGGTGTTCTATTTGAAATAACAAATTTGATTTTGTTTAAAATATTTAAAAAAAAATAGACTTATATATTATATTATAAACGCGATTATAAACGCTTTTAAAATTTTAAATCGATATCTTTTTTTCGTTCCAGAAACTTCCAATGGACCACGAATGTGAAACACCCTGTAGTTATTTTTTAAACTAGTAAATTTTTAATAATATTTAATCAATAAATTGTTATTTTAGATTCAATTAAAATAAAATTTAAATCAGCAGGTAAAGTTTGCCTTTACCACTTATTATTTTTTAATTATTATACCTATAGGTACTTATTTTCTTTTTTATATTTATCTTAAACATTTTTTTACGATAACACTTTAAAGTTCAAAAATAACACAATTGTAAAAAAATGCTATATTTTTATTTTTGTCCTCCTTCCTCCACACATTTTTATGTTTATAATAATTATAACTGTTATAGATTAAGAAATCTTTGTTGATTTAAAAAAATATGTATTTATTATTATTTATTTTAATAATAATAATTTTTGTTTTTAAACCCAAGATGAACTTAAAACTATATTACTATTATGGTATTTTTTTATACTTTTTATATAGGTACCTACCT